TCTATGATATTTATAGCAGTTTCTTTTCCAGAGCAGATAAACCAGTTCAAGCTGGCTATCTGTGGCTCATGTCTGTAATCCTAGTTACTCATGAGGCTAAGATCTGGAGGATCAAAGTTTGAAGCTAGCTAGGGCAGAAAGTCCATGAGACTTTGTCTCCAAAATAACCAGCAAAAACCCAGGGTTGGAGGCATAGCTCAAGTGGTAGAATACCAGCCAAATATGTTGTGAGGTTCTAAGCTCAAACCCCAGTATTATAAAAATAATAAATATATACATACCAATGTAATAAAGAGCTAAAGGTGTGACTCAGCAGATTACCTGCCTAGCAAGCATGAGGGCCTGAGTACAAACCTCAGTACTGACTGCCTACCATAAAAACAAACTAGTCAGGAAGTGGTGCTGTGGCTCAAGCGGTAGAGCACTCACCTTGAGCTGAAGAGCCCAGGGACAGTGCCCAAGACCAGAGTTCAAGCCCCACGAATGACAAAAAAAAAAAGTCAATCCAATTATCCTTTTCAATAACTGACAAAATTGTGAGGTTTTTAAAAAGAGGTAGCAGAGTAAGAACACCACGCACGTGGTATTCAGGTAAGGGGTAGGTTTATTCATCGTTCTGGCTGGCACCAGGCCATGTTGGCCCTCCATGCAGCTGGGAAAGAGCTGAGAAAGAGCTAGAAAAGAGAAGAGAGAGCTGGGAAAGAGAGCTGGGAAAGAGAAGAGAGGTGGAAAAGAGAAGAGGGCTAGGAAAGAGCGAGAGCTGGGAACGAGAAGAGAGAGCTGGGAAAGAGCTGGGAAAGAGGGCGTGTGGGCCTGGGCTAGGCCTTATCTAGGGTATGGGCAGAGATGTGACCTCAGCGATGCAGATGTGACCTCTTCCAGGTGTGCCAGTTGCCTAGGTAACGCAGGTACTGGGTGGAGACTTTGCTGTGAGGAGGGTGGAGTCTACTCACCATCCAGGAGTGGACCTTACAAAAATAAGACTCAAATACTACAAGATTCTATTTTATATGTGCTATGTACTACAAAATCAACAGTATTACTTGTGTACTTTTTTTTCTCTTTAGTGCTAGGACTGGAAACGAGTGCCAAAAGTAGCACACACTGGCAAGTGCTTTACAAATTATAGCCCTAGCCTCTTTTTTTTTTTTTAAATGCTGGTACTGATGCTTGAACTCAGGCGTGTGCGTGTGTGTGTGTGTGTGTGTGTGTGTGTGTGTGTGTCCATCTGTCTGTCTGTCGGTCGTAGAGCTTGAATTCTGGGCCTGGGCACTGTCCCTCAGCTCTTTAGCTCTTCAGCTCAAGGCAAGCGCTCTACCACTTGAGCCACAGCAGCACTTCTGGTTTTTCTGGTTGTTTATTGGAGATAAGAGTCTCACAGACTTTTCTGCCCTGGCTGGCTTTGAACCATGATCCTCAGATCTCAGCCTCTTGAGCAGCTAGGACTACAGTCATGGCACCCAGCTAATTTCTAACGTGTATTCCTTTCACTTATTTTGTTTAATCAGCCCTGGAAGAGATGATCTAACAAAAATACCTCTTAAAGATTGCTTCTAAACCTATATAACTGAGAAAATGAATTCTCCCAGATTCTTAATTCACAGGGCTTTGTTCTCTCTAGTCTTTTCTGAAAGTTTTATCCCTTGTTTCTATCATCCTATTTCCTCATTCTGGGAAAAGCATACTACTACACTGTTTCAGAAAAATAGAAAATAATTTGAATGAAAGACTATTATCTTGCAAAAGGCTATTTTAAAAAAACACAATTTCTTCCCCAACAAGTAAAACAGATGATCACTAGCAGAAAGAGCCCAATCAATGGCTGGCATCCACCAGCATGGCCTCAGTACTCTTGGTTGAGCTCCAGGTCTCAGTCACCATTGTCAGTTTCTCCTGTCTGTTATTCCCTGATTCTTAGTTGGCTGGAATGAACAATGTAGAGCTCCACTATTCACGTTTTAGAAAAAAAGGTCAAAGAGAGCCAGACGCCAATGGCTCACAACTATAATCCCAGTCACTCAGTTCAAAGCCAGTCTGGACAAGGAAAATTCATGAGACACTCTCTCTCTCTCTCTCTCTTTCTCTCTCTCTCTCTCTTTTGGTCAGTCATGGGGCCTGAACTCTGGGCCTGGGTGCTGTCCCTGAGCTCTTCAGCTCAAGGTGAGAGCTCTACCACTTGAGCCACAGCACTACTTCTGGCCTTTTCTGCTTATGTGGTGCTAAGGAATCGAACCCAGGGCATCAGGCATGCACGCTACCACTAAGCCACCTTCCCAGCCCCTCCATGAGACTCTATCTCCAATTAACTACCAGAAAACTGGAAGTGGCACTGTGCCTCAAATGGTAGAGTGCTTGCTTTGAGATGAAGAGCTCAAGGATAGTGTCTAGATCCAGGTTTCAAGCCCCATAACCAACAACAACAAAAAAAGTTCAGAGAGTATGCTTTGCTATTTATCTTCATTTCTGAGATACCAAAATGATTTCATTATGAGGTAATAAAATTATAAGACTATATAAAAAATGTGTATTATATATTTTTTTTCAGTGATAGGTCTTACAATGATAGACAAGTACTTTACTAGTAAGCTATGTCCTCAACCCCTAAAAATAATATTTTAAAAAATAAATAAATGGAGCCGGGTGCCAGTGGCTCATGCCTATAATTTTAGCTACTCAGGAGGCTGAGATCTGAGGATCACAGTTCAAAGCCAGCCTGGGCAGGAAAGTCCGTGAGACTCTTATCTCCAATAAACCACTAGAAAACCAGAAGTGGTGCTGTGGCTCAAGTGGTAGAGCGCTAGCCTTGAGCTGAAGAGCTGAGGGACAGTGCCCAGGCCCAGAGTTCAGACCCCACGACTGGACCCAAAAAAAAAGAAAAGAAACTAACCCAAGAATTGTAAAAATTAATTGAAATGCTTTTTTGCCATTATTATCGATTTTTTATTTTTACCTTATTTTATTTTATTTTTTGCCAGTCCTGGGGCTTAAACTCAGCTTGGGCACTGTTCTTGAGCTTCTTTTGCTCAAGCCCAGAATTCTACCACTTGAGCCACAGCACCACTTCTGGCTTTTTCTGTTTATATGGTACTGAGGAATTACACCTAGGGTTTCATGAACTGTACTACTAAGCCACATTCCCAGTCCAGCTACTGATTTTTTTTAAATTTTAATTTTAATTTTTTGTCGGTCATGGGGCTTGAACTCTGGGCCTGAGTGCTGTCCCTTAGCTCTTCAGCTCAAGCCTAGTGCTCTACCAGTTAAGCTACAACATCACTTCCGGTTTTCTGGTGGTTTTATTGGAGAGAAGAGTTTCATGGACTTTCATGCCCCGGTTGGGCACCAGAGCCACCTTATCAATGCTGCCTTGTTATTTCATGTAACTGATAAGACTTGGGAGCCATGGCCCAGGAATCTGTTTTCTGATCCAATTTTGACTATTTTTCAGGCCCTAAACAACATGATGACTATTTCACAGGTGTTTCCCTATTATGTTTCCCTCAGATCTCAGCCTCCTGAGTAGCTAGAACTACTGATTTTTTAAATGTCAGATATTCATAAATGTGTATTAGAAGTAGACATTTTTGCATCATATCGTACAATTTAAGTCATGAAAGTTTGCACAAAGGAAGATTTGAAACAATGGGCAATTTGGAAATAAATGTAAGGGTGATAGTCTCTGAATGATACGAGTTTTTAAATATAATCCTAATGCTTAAAAAACCATATGAGAGGCTCAGAAGGTAGCTCAGTGGTAGAGTGCTTGCCTCCCCTGCATGAGGCCCTGGGTTTGATTCCTCAGCACCACATAAACAGAAAAAGCCGAAGTGATGCTGTGGCTCAAGTGGTAGAGCGCTAGCCTTGAGCTGAAGAGCTGAGGGACAGCACCCAGGCCCAGAGTTCAAGCCCCACGACCAACAAAAACAAAACAAAACAAAGCAAAAGCCATATGATACTAATATTGCTACCTAAAAGTCAAGGTATTGTCATTTCCAATATAGATTAAGGAAGTATTTTTCTACACTCTATCTTTTGGAAGTTATTCAAATATATAACTAAAATGTTTTGGATTTAAATCAAATACCTTAGATTTACTAAGATAGTTGGAAGCATAAATATTCTGGGAAATAAATTGAATCCAAAAAGCTAAACAATGAGCAATGTCTGCTGCACGTGCCAAAACTTTAAAAAATTAAACCCCTGTCCCTCAGAGTTTAAGGTAAACCTAGCCCTCTAGTGGCAGGGAAAGACTTAAGTCAACAGCCACAAGTTTAGACTTGGAACATGACTCAAGTGGCAAAGTACCTGCCTGGCATGTCCAGGATCTGGGTTGAAGCCCTAGTACTGGGGCGGGGGTGGGCAAGGGAGAGGAACTACAGATTTTAATTCCACTAATTACAAATAAATCAGAGAGTTATATTTATTCTTTGATATTTCAATGACTTGACACATTTTGAGTAGTTAAAATATTTTCCAGGGGCTGGGAAGGTGGCTCAGTGGTAGAGCGCTTGCCTTGCATGCATGAGGCCCTGGGTTTGATTCCTCAGCACCACATAAGCAAAAAGAAAAAAGCGGGAAGTGGTGCTGTGGCTCAAGCAGTAGAGTGCTTGCCTTGAGCTGAAGAGCGCAGGGACAGCACCCAAGCCCAGAGTTCAAGCCCCACACTGACAAAAATAAATAAATAAATCAAAATAAGTACTACACAATGGCAGTTAAAGCAAGGTTCCAAGGTACTAAAAGCTTAATTTCAAAACTAGAATACATTTTGAGGATACAAAAGTTTCATTTCACTAAAAATATATATACCTTCATGTACCAAGAGGATTTTCAAATCTCGGAGAACACAAGACAATTTTATGGATTGCTTAAATATGTCCTATATTTCTTAGGTACATATTCCTACTGTTTGTCTTTTCAGTACACAGAGATCAAAATGCAATTAAAAATAAAAGTGACATTATAAACTATCTTAATAGAAGCCACTGAACTTGAATTTCTCATACCTGTTGGATAGTAGGCTTGGGAGTACTGTGCTGAGGGTGTGTAGTTACCATACTTTTGGGAGGAGCTGACCATTGTTTGAGTACCTTGTTGAACATGCACAGATGTGGCATTAGGTTGCAACGTATAGGTAACCTCGGTTGGAAATCTCTGCAGTACAGGAAATGGAACCCCTTTATCTGAAAAACTAGGAGATGTCTCCACTTGTCCAGGGTGCATTCCGAGGGAGTTCTGCCATGTTCTAGGAGGAATCGGGGTCCGGTCTAAACCTTTCAGAGGGAAAGTGCTGTGGTTGTGGGATGAAGTTGATACGTAGGAATAAGGAGACAAACTATCTCGCCGGAATGACCGGTGAAATTGTCCTACAGCCACTGGTCCTGCATAAAAGAGAAAGAGCACATTTACTACCTTTACATTATACTATCAGACACACAAAACCACAGTAAACCAAAGGTCAAAAAATATCCTACTGTTAAGCTATCAGCTATTTTGAACACAACAGAAATGTAGCTGTGGCACAAACAAGTTCAGAATACAGAATATAAGAACACACATACTTTGCTGAAAAGAGTCAAATTTTTGTTTGGTTTTCAATATATTATAAGAGATAAGATGCCCAAACTCTAAAATTAAAATCAGAGATTGAATCAAATATTTAGTGTAAAAAACTGTTATATGTGATTCAGCCATTTTACTTTTTTTTTTTCTTTCTTGGTGCTGGGGTTTGAACTCAGGGCCTGGGCACTGACCCCAGAGCTTTTTTGCTCAAAGCTAGTACTCTCACTTCGAGCCACAGCTCCATTTCGGTTTTGGAGTGGACTTTACTGCTCCAGTTGGCTTTGAACTATGGATCCTCAGATCTCAGCCTCCTGAGTACTTAGGATTACAAGCATGAGCCACCAGTGTCCAATCCATCTTACCTTTTATCTCAATTGACTAACAGATTTTTCCAATATCTGAGCTATTTTCTATAGGTTTTCTACTGATTTTTTCCAAACCATTTAAGAATTTTAATAACAAGTAGGAAGCTGAGTGCTCATGCCTGTAATCGTAGCTACTCAAAAGATTGAGATCTGAGGATTCAGGTTTGAAGTCGGCCTGGGCAGAGAAGTTCCTGAGACTATCTCTAATTAACCATCAGAAAAAGCTAGAAACGGAAGTGTGTGGCTCAAGTGGTAGAGTATAAGCCTTGAGTAGAAAAAAAATCTAAAGGATATCATCACCCAGGCCCTGAGTTCAAGCTCCAATATTAACACACAAGAAGACCCCAAAACAAACAAGCAAATAGGAAAATGGTATTCTACCATTCACAAAAAAGAAATGTGTAGAACAAATAATTAGGACATGAAACAAAAAGGAATGTAATGGCTTTTGTGCTAGTCCTGTGGCTTGAACTCAGAGCCTGGGTACTATCCCTGAACTTCTTTTGCTCAAGGCTAGCACTCTATGACTTGAGCCATAGGGCCACTTCTGGCTTTTTTGTTTATGTGGTACTAAGGAATTGAACCCATGTCTTCATGCATGCTAGGTAAGCAATCTACCACTAAGCCACATTCCCAGCCCCCATACTTACTTATTTTTAAAGCTAGGCATTTAGTGGCTCATGCCTATAATCCTAGCTACTCAGGATCTACAGGATCGAGCTTTAAAGCCAGCCCAGGCAGAAAAGTGTCAAATTCAATCTCCAAAATTACCAGCAAAAACCCAGGCTAGTGGTATAACTCAAGTGGCAGGGTGCCAGGTGAGCAAGCAAGTTGAACAAGAATGAAACCCTGGCCTTTTCCCCCCTCCTCTTTAGAGCATTGCTAGCAGTATCCTTTCCCATATAAATGAGCTGGTTTGATCTGAATCATAGGACAACTGATTTAAACCCAAAGATCCAGGCTCATCAAAGATTCCAATACAAGTATGTGTTTTCCCTTATATATCAAGGTAAAAAGAAAAAACAGGAGACAAGAAGCATTAGTGTTGACTGAGAAAAGGAAGAACATATATGCTACAAAATGATTTACTTTACAGATTATGATTTTTAAACATAGAGGAAGTTATTCCTAAGGAGAGGTTTGTATATTAAATGTGATTCATGAACTCCTTTATTAACCTGAAAACATGGAAAACCAATCATGTTATCCAAGTGCTAAACAAAATGTTAAAAGATCTTTTATGTTTGGGGCTGGGAAGGTGGCTCAGTGGTAGAGCGCTTGCCTTGCATGCATGAGGCTCTGGGATCAATTCCTCAGCACCACCTAAGCAGAAAAAGCCCGAAGTGGCACCGTGGCTCTAGTGGTAGAGTGCTAGCCTTGAGCTGAAGAGCTGAGGGACAGTGCCCAGGCCCAGAGTTCAGGCCCCATGACTGGCCAAAAAAAAACAAAAAACAAAAAACTCTCATGTCCCTGTATTCCCAAATATTTAGATTATAAACCATTTAACCTATTACACATCTCACTATTTCTACAGTGTTTAGTTTCCTTAAGGAATAAAGTATTGATGCCAAGAATAAACAAACACATGCACACAACACAAATTCTGAAGCAGTAGAAATCAAGGACTCTATTTGAATGTGGAACAACAATGCCTAGTTCAAAAGACTGAATGTATGTAAATGACAAACCTCTTAAAATAACTTTTCCATTAAAGTACAAAAAAACAGATTACACCATACTATTTGACTAGCAATTTTATATGTACATACACTATTAACTTACTACTGACATGCTTCGTTTTCCTAAAGAAATTGTTGCTTTTCATAGCCAGGTGCCACTGATAGCTCTTATCTGTAACCTTAGCTGACTACTCAAGAGGCTGAGATTTGAGAACCAGGGTTAAAAGATAGCCAGGCAGGAAAGTCTATGAGATCCTTTTTTTTTTTTTTGGGTCCGGTCGTGGGGACTGAACTCTGGGCCTGGGCACTGTCCCTCAGATCTTCTCTTTAGCTCAAGTGGTAGAGCACTAGCCTTGAACTCAAGGCTTGAGTTCAAGGCTAGTGCTCTACCACTTGAGCCACAGCACCACTTCCGGCTTTTTTCTTTTTGCTTATGTGGTACTGAGGAATCGAACCCAGGGCCTCATGCATGTAAGGCAAGCGCTCTACCACTGAGCCACCTTTCCAGCCCTCCATGAGATTCTTATCTCCAATTAACCACTAAAAAGCCAGAAATGGAACTGTGGCTCAAGTGGTAGATTGTTATCCTTGAGTAAAAAAAGCTTAGGGATAGTGCCCAGGCCCTGAGTTCAAGCCCCAGGACTTGCAAAAGGACAGGAAGGAAAGGAAAGGTTAAAGGAAAAGAAGAAATGGTTAATTTTCACAGTCTCCAAGTTCAACCTACAACCTGCCAAAAAGGAAAAAGAAAAAGGGAACTGAATTGTTACTTTTCACTGTTTCTGAGTTACCTAAATTTCTGAGTAAATAAAGCTCTTCTGTTAAGGATTAGCTTGTAAGGCTCTATTCTGAGCAATTTTACAGAGCTTCACCTTAAAATCTTCAGAACATCATTAAAATATTTGGCAAAGAATGATTCTGGAAATGCCAGGTGCCAGTGGCTCAGGCCTATAATCCTAGTTACTTAGGAGGCTGAGATCTGAGGATCACAGTTCAAAGCCAGCTCTGGCAGGAAAGTCCATGAGACTCATCTACAATTAACCACCAGAAAACAGGAAGTGGCACTGTGGCTCAAGTGGTAGAGCACTCGCCTTGAGCTGAAGAGCTGAGGAACAAACAACGCCCAGGCCCAGAGTTCATAGTCCTATAACTGAACAGAAAAAAAAAGAATGAATGAATTCTGAAAATGTTGGACAAGATGGATTTGTGCTTTTTAAACATTGTATTCTTTCTATGGACACTAATGAATTGCCAGGAAAGAATCTCAAAATTGCCTGTTGAAACTTGTGTCCAGGCAAAGAGATATTAACCACTTCCCAAATTTGGTACTTAGTTTAGAATATTTTAACAAATACTGTAAACTAAATTGCCCTAAAAGCAAAAGAATAAAAAGCAACAAAAAGGGGGAAAAGGGATTTTTCACATTTCTTTTCAAGTGACAGCTAAATAAAAAAACAAGATCCTAGCCCCGTGCCAGTGGCCTGGAATCCTAGCTACTCAGGAAGCTGGGATCTGAGGATCATGGTTCAAAGCTAGCCCAGGCAGGAAAGTCCGTGATACTCTTATCTCCAATTAACTACCAGAAAACCAGAAGTGGCACTATGGCTTAAGTGGTAAAGTGCTAGCCTTGAGCTGAAGAGCTCAGGGACAGAGCCCAGGCCCAGAGTTAAAGCCCCATGACAGACAGACAGACAAACAAACAAACAAAAAAGGAAAAGAACAAAAAAGAGCTAAGGACTTTGAACATACATTAGGAGCAAAACAAAGCTGTACCAGTATTTTGAATCTACAACAGAATTACATTCCTCCTGAGACAGAAACCCAACTGCGCAGGGAAGCAAGCCTATGGTATAGATAATCCACACCTAACATCCTTCTGTACATATCGATAGGAAATGCATGAAAATGACAATAACCTAGGTATGTATACATACACATATGGACTAACATGTGTACTTACAAGAATGAATTTACAATTTTTCAACAAATAATCTTTAAAATGCTGAGCAACTCAACTATAAATAAATAAAATCAGATTCTAGATAGCTTCTGTTTTAATTCTACTGAACTTGTAGAGATTTTTTTTTTTTAATGGTAGCAGTGAGGTTTAAACTTGGGGCCTTGTACTCTGGGCAGGCACTCTGCCACTGGGACCACAACCTCAGCCTCAATTGAACTAGACTACAACTGTGTTTAAGATAGGTAAAAGAAGATGATCATAAGCTGGGAAGGTGGCTCAGTGGTAGAGTGCTTGCCTTGCATGCATGAGGCCCTGAGTTTGATTCCCCAGCACCACTTAAGCAGAAAAAGCCAAAAGTGGCACTGTAGCTCAAGTGGTAGAGTGCTATCCTTGAGCTGAAGAGCTGAGGGACAGCGTTCAGGCCCCACAACTGGCAAAAAAAAAAAAAAAAAGAAAGAAAGACGAAAAAGAAGATCAAAGAGAAAAGTGAGCAAGAATTGGTTTCTACCTATGTTCCTTTGAAGTATTAACCCATTTTTTCTCCCTCTGCCCACTAGATAAACAACCTGAAAAAAAAAAACAGCCTGTGATTAAAAAAAATTTAAAGACATGTCTGTGTAGAGTTTTTGTCAAATATGTATCATGGAATTGTCTCTACTGCTTTTCCTCAAGTAATTTCCCATCAAAATCAATGGTCATCACATGCAAGTAGCTTAATATTCCTTTAGAATTCCTTTAGAACATTCCTATACCACTGCTATTTCCCAACTTGTTTCTAGAACTCTAACCTAGTTCCTTATCTTCTAAACTCCAGAGACATAGAATTGTCTAAATTCCAATGGGCAAAGTACTGCCTGAGTATCCCACCTAGGTTAAATGGAGCATTGTGTTGTTTATGTATAATTATTTTCATAACGCAAAAATAGCTCAGACTTCTTTATGCTAAATTCATGTTAACATGCTGAAAATATTTTTATTACTCTCCTAGTTGAAGGTGGAATATGAATTTCATTTTATTATATTCTGCTGCTTCCCTTGGTATACTGCTTCATATCACTAACTCTTTAAACAGAGAAGTGTTATACTGCCTTAGTCACTTTCCCAGAAGGAAGAAAAGCATTTAAAAAAATCAAGACTATAAAATAGATCACCATCATCAAGGGTTTCTGAACTTCAGAAAATGCAGATAGCTTTTCTTTCAATGCTGAAAAGTTGAAGACAGAAAGACTGTTTGCTTTCAAAAATTCTTTTTCACAAAAAACTTGCTATAAAGAAAACCAGTTGGCCTTATGGTTGTCTGTAACACCTCAAGTCACCATCCAATGATGGTGAACAAAGGCAATGTTCAACCAATCTATTCTACTTAGGAACAGGATCTTGCAATCCATCTGTAATTACAGGTGCACCCTAACATCTACCTTTATGCACGTGACTTGGAACCTTACATTATTGTCCTGACACTTCTTTCCAAGATTTCTTACATGTATCAACAGGTGGAGAGTGGAATGTCTCTTCAAAGACTAACTTCCATTCCAAGTACCTTTTGCACGTTCCCTTGGTTTAATGTTTTAAATTTTGACTGTGACTCTGCTGCTTCCTGCCTTAACCAGTGCAGCGACTACTTCTGATTTCCTCCTAGAGCAATGGCGGACCTTCTGGGTCTCTTTGCAACCCAGGAGCTCCTATTCTAGAGGTTCACAGTGGAGGAGCTGGCTGTTGGGAATGAAAATGGTTCCAGAGGTTTGGAAGTAGGTAAACGACTTGGGGTTTCATCTTTGGCGGGCCCTGGGGTGCTGGTGAGATGGAAAGGAGGTGATGGAACCTACAGTCCCAGGGAGCCTCCAAGGTGAGCATGTGGGGGCAATGCGCTGTGCAACGGCGGCGGTTGCTCCATGTTGGGGGGGTGGGGTGGAGGCATGCGCCCAGGTGGAGGGGCCAGGGCTCGAACTAGGGACTCACCGTGCGGCTCGGGCCGGGACCCTGCGGGTGGCAGCGGTGGGTCCTGGTGCTGCAGTGGGGAGGTGGAGGCCGAGGCGGAGGCCGAGGCGGAGGCGGACGTGATGAGGAGCCGCTGGAAGCGGTTGGGCGGGCGGCAGGGCACCTCCAGGCCGGCCGCCAGCTTGGCCTTGTTGGCACTGGTGAGCCGCTTGAGGTGCACGAGCAGCTGCGGCTGGTCGCGGCGGAAGTGCGGGCTGTGGAAATGGTGCAGCGGCCCGTCGCCCGCGTGGGCCGCCGGCCCCGGGCCCCGCCGCGCCCGGCCCGCCCAGCACCACCTTGCGGAAGCCGTATAGGTTGAGTTGGCGGATGAAGCTGGTGAAGTTGGTGGTTTTGAAGAGCTCGGGTTCGGCCGCAGTGGCCCCCAGACCACCACCGCCAGCACCCCCGACGCTGGCCCCTCCGGCAGCGGCACCACCGCCGCCTCCGGCTCCCGGCCCCGGCGGGCTGAGCAGTTCGGCCTCAAAGAGCGGCTGGTCGATGAGCAGCCCCTCGCCGCGGCCGTCCCAGCGGATCGAGCGGTAGCGGGGGCTGTTCACCAGCCGCCACAGCTTGGCGGGGAAGTTGTTGGGGTTGATGGGAGTAGAGAGCAGCGCCTCCTCCATCGCCCCGCCCGGGCCTGGGCCTCGCCCCGCCGAGCCTGGCTCTCTCCCACCGTTCTCGATCCCCCGGGGCCTTCGCTTCGCTTCGCCCTGCCCCCTCCTGCCAGTGCCCGGCCTCCCAGGACCCGAAGACCGTTGGCGCACGAGTCTCGGGCCTGCCCTCGGCGCAGCCAATGAGGCCTCGAGTTGCACCGCGCGGCCTGTGGGGCGCGAGCAGGACCCCATGCAGGGATGCGCGGACCTGCGCCCCCGCGGTGGGTCGGTCCGCCCGGACACGGTGGGCTCCGGCCCCCAAACCGCCCCCACGTGGACGGAGGAGCGCCGCCCGCCGGGGAATTCTAAGTCCTGCAAAGAGAGAAGCCCCGGTTCTCGGTTCTCCACGCCCGGAATACTAAGGGCGTTAGGATCAAGGGCTGCAGCCGAATGCAGAGTGTGCATCCGGCCGTACAGAGCCCGTCCCGGAGAACAGCGGTCTTTTACCGTACCCCTGTCTCTCCAAATAAAAATATCCACCTTTTCCGGTAGGAGCATTTTCTATCTTTAAAGATATCGGCTCTTCCAAGCCGGTGTTTTTGCTCAACCCAACTTACGCGAGGTTAGGTGAAACTGAGGCTCTTGGCAGAAAGGGAGCCAGAGAACGTTTATGGTAAGTACAACTCTGCGGTGCCCCCTCAACCAGCTGGTGACATTTCAGACACTAAAGACAAGTGAACCTCAAGATGAGATAAGACAGTATTCTTTAGAACCCGTAAGACTCAATCCCTATCCAATCACTAACCATAGATATACCCCAGTAGCTCATTTTGAGAATAGAAATTCTTGGGAAGAGCTATGCTTAAAAGTCTTTTTCCTCCTGGTTAAAAACAACAGAAGGACCAAGAAACAGAAACCAAAAAAACAAGCACTACGTTTCCTTAAGAAATTAAAATGAATAAAAAGAGCCAACAAAACAGCACTAATATAGAGATTTTATTTAAACTGTATTGAGTTGTTTTTTTTTTACAGCACATTGCATGTCACAACGCAACTGCACAGTTTGGATTTTTGGCCACATCATGTCACTGACACCCACAACAGCTCTGAAAGGAGTATTTGATGAACACATCTGAACCAAGAGCCCAGAGTTTCTCTCCAAGGCCATGCAGTTTGTTCATTTGGGACAGTCCCTCAAAACAGCCAAAGTAGGCAGATACAGTCTCCTCAGTGTTACCAATCTCCCTGAAAACAGGCAGAGTGAAGTGCAATGAAAATCAATTAACTTAAAAAGCCACTCATGACTGTCAACAAATTGAAATGATTGAGAAAAATGCTTAAAATAATTTTAGGTAAGACACAGGAAATAATTTGTTACTTTTTCATGATCTCAGGAATTTCCCAGACACAAAATCTCCATTATCCAACTTCATTTATATGAAAAAAAAAAAAAAGTTCTGCTAGGCTGACCTAAATACGCCAAAACTTTTTAGGTTACATCCATGACATGTATGAAGAAGCACAGATGCTTCTCTGTAGGACTAAGGAAAAGGTCAGGACAAATAATTCTTGTTGTAAATGTAGATGCTAGTTATTTTGGAATGACTTTTCTAGAGAGCAATGTAAAAGTAGCAGTGAGGATGACAGCTACCATAATTTTAAAACAGTATAGGCCTAAACGTAATTTACTTTTTATACATCAATGAATGAAAGAAAAATGAATGTAAGAAATCCTAGTAGTTTCATTATAGGCCAAGGAGACTTCATCTGTCCCAACCACAGTACATGGCTATATCACTGTATCTTTTGGTTAAGTGCCACTGGTACATATTAAGATGAAAAAAAAATCAAAACAAAAAAATTAAAAAAAATTGTTTGGTCCAAATGGACACATTTTCTCTCCCAATTTTGGTATCAAGGCTCTATTCTCTTCGGTTTGGGTTCCATTGTTAAGTGCACAGAAATAGACAGCAGCATTTTTACGGAAACCCTCACATACCAAACAGCATTATTTGAGGAGGTAAAAACAAACGCTAGATTCTACCCTCAAGGTGTCAAGTGTTCAGGATAAGAAGCAGTGTGACCCAGAGGAGGCAGCAGCCAAGGGAAAGACAACATGGGGGAAGTGGGCAATGGAACAATAAAAATCTTTGTTTTATTTTCATGCCAGGAGAGGATCAAGGTGTAGCTCCTGTGTTAGCACCAGGACAACTAGGAAAAGTCAGGCGCGAAGGGTAGGGCACAATCAGCAGATATTTCACAAGCATAACTTTTGTTTTTCCCTTCTCTTTTCCTTCTTCACAGCGCATACCTCAAGAGCTGTCACCATGTAATAGAGTGACGACTGCCTATGAAGCTCAAAATAACTGATTTTTGCCAAGACTAAGCATCAACAGTTTTTCCTCTGCTCCCAGAAATGTCTCATTCCCTAGAATTGTCCTTCTAAAATGAATATTCACTGATGCTGGCCAATGAGCCAAGTGAAAAATACATTGAAATCTCCACTTGCCAAACCAATCTTTAAACCAAACCCCACAGAAAAAACAGTACTAATGCAACTAGAGGGAGTGCCTCTAAAGACTGAGCCTTCATGCACAGACACAGAGCACAGAGGTACGGAATAGAGTTCGTCTCAAATAGGATAGGAAGTCCTATCTTGTATACTATAATCTGCTTTTTCAAGGTGGAGGAGAAATGGGTCTCTTATCACTTGAAGTTTGGTTATACGTATGCCTTTCTATTGCTGTTTGGGCTCTTTGCACCAGGCAGTTATCTATGAAATCATCTTGTGACTCCCCCACAGGAGAAAGATGCTGGAGTCACAAACTCAACATTAAGACCCAGACTCTGGGTCTAGATTGGGACCATTACCCCAAGGTGAGGGTTATCTCCAGTAGAAGACCTCCTGCCAAATTGAAATTCCTCTGCTCCAGCCTCATGGTACCAAGGAGGATCTCTCAAGACGGTATCTTTGAGCTCTGTGATTTCATGAGCCTCACACCTAGGAATCTTCCAAACTACACCTGAAGCAGATCCTCCCTTCAAACCTGTTAAAATTGGACAGGTCATCTCCTCTGGCATTCAACTGGAAGCTGTAGCGATGGGTTTCTTCAGATGCTGGCTCATGAGTTCCCTGGCACGAGATACTTGGATGTGTTCGTAACATGAGTTACAGACAAGAACTGGGTCATAGAGTTGTTGATCAGGAATGGGCAGCTTCAGGTGGCAGCATCCAGCACAAAATACATTCCCACAATTTCTACCAAAGCACAAAGAGGAAAGAGTTCATCAGAAATGCCAATGTACTGAGAGTGAATGATAGTTTAAAAGGCTTTCTGTGAATAAATTTTTAAAAAGGCTGGGTACAAACAAAAATAGCTCCTGTAAAGATGTTCCCATTTCAGATTAATGCAGTTTAGTCCTCTCTATATATAATGTACTACTTTGAGTCACACTGAATCACACAACATATCTTACCTGCAATGATGTCTTCGTTTGGCCAACCAGAATTCACAGTCACAGTTATAGCAATGTGATGCCATATGGTCTGGAACCCAACGAGTCACCTAACAGAAGGCACAAGGAAAAATTCCAGATCCTTAATGGAGTAGAAAAGTAATATTGCAATAAGGAGAAAATGACAAGGCTGGTCTTTATGACTGGCCACACTAGGTGCCTACAAAGATGACACCTATCTCAGGGAGAGCTCAGGCCACAGCACGCCTCTCAGAAATACAACCCACTGGCTTGTTTAAGTTCCAAACACATATTTGCCTAGACATACCTCAGTTTCCTTCTTATCAACAGGTTCCCAACTTGCTTCTGAAAGGCAGTCTTCGCTGTGATCAGAGCCAAAATCCTCCGTATCACTGCCATCTGACTCCTTCAAACACGTCTGAGGAATGGATGAAGACAGCAACATCACCACTTAGTGTTTATGAAGTACCAAGAACAGTTCTAAGTGTATCACATCCATGAACTTAATTCCTTACAACAGTCTTGTGATGTGTATACATACATACATACATATATATATTTTTTTATTTTTTTGGCTGGTCGTGGGGCTTGAACTTGGCTTGGGCGCTGTCCCTGCACTCTTCAGCTCAAGGCGAGTGCTCTACTGCTTGAGCCACACTGCTACTTCTGGTTTTTGAGTGGTTTATTGGAGATAAGAGTCTCACGGACTTTTCTGCTTTCCTGGCTTTGAACCGTGATCCTCAGATCTCAGCCTCCTGAGTAGCTAGGATTACAGGCATGAGCTACCAGCACCTGGCTTTATGATGTATATTATAGACTTGTTTTATAAATAAGGAAATTAAGCCACAGAGAATTAAGAGGTGCAACCTGTAAAGCTGGGATTTGTACAATATTCTGGCTTCAGAGCCATGGCCTTACCAAAATGTTATACTATAATGTGGAAAGATTAAACCAAGTGTTGGCAAACTATGGCCCACAGCTAAATCAAGCTGTATAAAACACAGCCACATTCATCCCCTTACATATCATCTATGGCTGCTCCTTTTCTTTTTTTTTTTTTTTTTGCGGGTCCTGGAGTTTGAATTCAGGGCCTGGGCACTGTCCCTGAGTTTTTGTTTGCTTGTTTCTTTGTTTTTCTCAAGGCTAGCACTCTACCACTTGAGCCACAGGGCCACTTCTGACTTTTTCTGTTTATGCGGTACTGAGGAATTGACTCTACCACTAAGCCACATTCCCAGCCCCTATGGCTGCTTTTGTGGTATAGATCATGTTGAATTGCTATAATATAGACCATATGGCCCACACAACCTAAAAAAAGTTGGCTGACTCCTATTTAAAACATCACCCTGTAGGGAAAAGTTGTCAACTCTTCCCATTTCATCAGCCAAGAAGTGGGTAACAGGCAATTGGGAATGCCTTAACAGAAAAAAAGGGAAGTGTTATTATGGGGGATGAAGAAGTTACGGGGTAGAAGATGGCTCTTAGAAGCTTCCCCAGCACCACAGTGCCAGAACTTGATAGACCAGGGCAGCAGAGCCCCAGTGGTCCTCAGTAGTCTCATCTGGATTATTCTACAGTATCCTAACCAGCTTCCCAGTCTAGGTCTCTAATTGTTTCATCAAAATTTTACACTGTTTTGACAGGAGTTTCCTTAAAATACAAATTGGGTCATATTATTCATTGGCCATTTCATTGCCTGAAGGGCAAACAAGAAAAGTTTGATCCTTACAGCATCTAATTCTCCAGCATTACCTCCCATACCACACTACCCAATTCTCCCTCACAATCCCAGCATAAGTGTGTATACATACAAGTACATATACATGAACCTTCTTTAAGCCATACTACTGGAGTACCCATCGACTCCACGCTTCTGCTGTTTTCTTTCACTGTCTACTGAGCTATAACACACATTTTTTCGGCACATCCCTCAAGCCTGTCCTGACCTTTTATTCTACTCCAGCCCCCTAAACTACTGATGTCTCCCCCAGACGTAACACTTAGAACATCACTCCAGTTGTTTTTCACCTTGTAGCATGAGCAAATTAACCCAGTGGTACACAAGTACTCAGTAAACTGCTACCCTTGAATGGGTGGAAGACTAAGTGAATGGATGGATGGTAGCTGGTGACAACTTACAAAATCATCCTCATAATCCATAGGAGGCTCTGCTGGAGGGGCACAGCAGTGACGGATATCCAGCCTCATTTGGAGCTCACGCACTTGTCGCCGGAGCTGCTCCACTTCTTGTTTGTACCCTGCTTCAATTTGCCGTAATCTATGCTGGATCACATCCGTGGGAAAGGGGAGTCCGTCATCATCCAAGTAGAAAGGAGGCACTGGAGAAGGGCAGCTCAGAAGGACAGGCTTTGTGCTAGAGACTTGCTTTGGGTGACCAGACAACCACGTCCGGTTGTTTTTTCCTCCTGGTCCAGTACAGTGTCCATTGGAATGACTAGAACAGACAGGTGACTTTACACCTTCTCTTTGAGCCCACTGGCCCCCAAAGCAGGACCCTGTGGCCCGCACCTGCTTACTGCTCGATCTTTTGCTGCAACAGCCATAGGAAAGCAGCCTCCTAGGGGTTGTCTCCCCACTTGGGAATGAAGTCACCATCCCTTGGAAGCTGTCCCAGTTGGACCCTAGAAAAGAGAACTCACTGATCTGGCTCTGAGAAATTGGCTTTCGGGCCAATTCTAATGGTATTTTCCCAAAGCGATGATTTTCCAATAACTGTCCATTCTTAGTATTTCCTTTCTTGCCAGTGTCCTCCTCCCTATCAATCACGTCTGGCACAGAACTGGGCTGTTGTTGGTGGGAGATACTTGCTGTAGACCCTGAGGGATCTAGGTTGAGGAAGTCAGTACTTGGCTCTGGAGCAGTTTGGCAGGGAGCATTTGGTACACTACAAAGGCTGCCCAGACTGTAATCCAGAACACCTCTGGTGGGCACATCTATCATGGAGTCTAGCTGTGCCTTCTGGGGGACACCTGTAAGGGAGTCCTGAGAAGACTCAGGAAAATTACAGGTTCCATCACACTTGCTAGGAACAACTGTAGAGAGTGCACTGACAGTTTCTGTTTCCAGACAATGTTCAGGTGACCCCCCTAAGCCATTGAAAGTCCTACACAGCTCATCCTGGGCAGGAGGTTCTAGAGCTGGTACTGTAGTTTCTTCCAGAACTTTGATGCCAGTGTCAGAGGTGTTGTTCTTCATTTCCCGGGACACAGCAGTGTTAAGCAGTTTATAATTTAGAGGACAGCTTTTGTGACCCTTGAAATGTTTATTGCTCAAATAATCTTTCTGGTTACTGGGAAGAGCGGGAAGGCCCATTTCTCCTAAGCTCTGCTGAGGACCTCCTACCCCAGGTTCCACAAAGGCTGTCTCTGAGCCCTCAGGGTTGTTGTGCCAGGACTCCAGGCTGACTCTGACCTCCTGGCAGTGGTTATTAAGGTTAGGATCACTGGATGTTCGAGTGAGGGGGCTGCTTGTGTCACAGGCAGAAAGGAGGTCATCCATGGATCTGGTTTTAGGTAACCTGGAAGGACAAACACAACATTTGCAGGTCAGAAAATAAGAGGCACTTCCAATATAGAGAATCAGGTCATCAGAGCAGCATCAAGCCAGAGTTCACAATACATGATATTTAAGAGTATAAATAACTGATATGCATCAAAAGCCTATTCAGAGAAATAACGAAGACAAGAAACTGTTCTCAATAGCCCTCATCATTTGTAAGTCTTTAACTTACAGTTTCCCTGGACTATCTCAACCATTCCAGTTTCAACTGCTTGTTTTTTGTTTCTTTTTTAATTTAATTTTTTCAGGGGAGGGGACGATGGAGCTTAAAGTCAGGCCTTAAATATGCAAAACACACACTCTGCTTAATTAGCTAAATCCTCAGTCCTGCTATTAACTTTTTGTTACTGTTGTTTTGGCAGTTTGGGGTTTGAACTCAGGATTTCATGTTTGCTAGGCTGGTACTCTATCACTTGAGCCGTATCTCCAGTTCTGGTTCTTTTGCTAGTTATTTTCAAGACAAAGCTTGAAACTTTTCTGCCAGGTCTGACCTAAAAATGCGATCTTTCTTCTCTCAGCCTCCAGAGTAGCTAGGATAATTGCTGTGGGCACTGGCATCTGGCCCCTGCTGATAACTGTTAAATCTACTATTCTAGCCAGGACTATACCTGAGCCTCAAGGCAATGTCCCACCGTCTCTATCACAGTAAGAAAGAACATGAGTTTTGCATCTGGATAACACTTGCTCTGACACCAATTAGCTATATACCTACAAGTAAATTATTTAACTTCTCAGATATTTGCTTTCCTCACTATAAAATGTTAATAAATTATATCTTATAGAGAGTGCTATGCATTCAAAATATAGGCAACCAACCAACAACTTATTAACCACAAATGTTTTAAGAAGACACTTATTGACTCCTCAACACAGCTTTTTACCACTTAGAAGCAATATGCTTCTCGCTCCCAGGGCTCTATGGAAACTTCTGCCAAGAGACAGCAGCAGTCAGAGTCCTAGAGGCATTCCTACACACCAGGTGAGTAGCCGGTTTTGTTAAATGGCCATCCTGATTTTTAACAGTTAAATCATAGATCAACAAAAGCTTAGGAAAATTCACCTAGAAACAGGAGAGACTTCACTGGCATCCTCCTTTTAGATGACTCAAACAGAAAAGTCCCCCAAAGACCAACTTAAAATACAGTTTAAGTGCTTGGGTTTTGAACCTTTATTATAATAAATGTTTTAAGTGTATTTTTATGTTTGACTTTACTTTTGAGACCAATTTTGGTTTTCTTTGAAGTGGCAAGAAGGTCATTGAAACAGTTATGATTATAGTCCCTGCATCTCATAGCCAGGGTTCAAATCCCAGCTTGGGAACTTTTCAGCTGCTGACTTTAACTTCTTCATACCTCAGATCCCTCATTTATAGAAAACATTTTTTATATATCTACCTTTTTTTAATTTTTTAATTGTTAAGATACTGTACAGAGAGATTACAGTTACATGAGTAAGGTAACAAATACATTTCCTATTGAGCATTGTTACCCCTTCCTTTGTTTTTTCCCTACCATTCCTTCCCTCTCCACCTCCCCAACTCCCCTCCCTGCCATGTTGTAAAGTTCATTTTCAACATAGTGTCTTGTACATCTCCTTGTTACATTTTTACAATGGGTCAACCTGTATCCTTGTTTCAGCATTTTGTTATTTCTCATCTCCTCTCCAAATCATGTATCTATAAGATGCAGGGCACCGGAATCAAATACAGTGACAACAGGGGTTATACCATGGGGGAAGAACATACAAAAGAAACAAAAAAGGGCTGGGAAGGTGGCTTAGTGGTAGAGCGCTTGCCTTGTATGTATGAGGCCCTGGGTTCGATTCCTCAGCACCACATAAACAAAAAAGAAAAAAACCGGAAATGGTGCTGTGGCTCAAATGGTAAAGCGCTAGCCTTGAACTGAATAGCTGGGGGACAGCACCCAGGCCCAGAGTTCAGGCCCCACGAACAAACGGACCAAAAAAAAAAAAAAAAAAAAAAAAAAAAAAAAATCACATAGTACATTAAAAACAGTGACAAAGGACAAAGCAAAAACCTTATGTCCCTATCTTGGGGTTCATTTCACTTAGCATCATCTTATATGGTCATATGTACATAGCTTTTGACCTTTTCTGCTTGTCTGGTAAGATTATCCTAGATGTATACTAGTTATTGCAAATAAGGGAAACCATGGGACCTATGTTTCTTTGGGACTGACTTACTTCACTTAATATAATTTTTTCCAAGTCTTTCCATTTCCTAACAAACAGGGCAATGTCATTCTTTCTGATGGAGGCATAGAATTCATATATATATATAGAGAGAGAGGCATAGAATTCATACACACACACACACACACACACACACACACACACACACACATACTAGATTTTCTTGATGCATTCATCTACTGAGGGGCATCTGGGTTGGTTCCCTATCTTAGCTATGGTGAATGATGCTGCCATGAACAGTTGTGCTAGTAGCTTTAGTTTAACCTTGTTTGTGATTGTTTGGGTAAATGTCCAAAAGTGGGATTGCTGGGTCATAGGGAAGCTCTATGTGGAGTCTTTTGAGGAACCTCCATACTGCTTTCCAAAATGGTTGAACAAGTTCACACTCCCACCAACAATGCAGTAGGGTTCCCTTTTAGCCACATCCCCTCCAGCATCTGTTGTTATTTTTGATTATAGCAATACTAACTAGGGTGAGGTGGAATCTCAATATTTTTTTGATTTGCATTTCTTTTATGGCTAGAGAAGTTGAGCATTTCTTCATGTGTCTATTGGCCATTCTTGTTTTCTCTTCAGAGAAGTCTCTCTTTAAGTCTTAAGCCCCTTATTAATGGGGCAGTTTTTTCCTTTGAGGATTTGTTGGTGGTGGATTTAATTTTTTGAGTTCTAAGTATATTTTAGATATGAGACTATTGTCTGTTGTATGGCTAGTGAAGATCTTCTCCCAATCTGTAGGCTTTCTATTGATTTTGCTAGCTATGTCCTTTACCATGCAGAAGCTCTGCAGTTTCATGCAATCCATTTGTCCAACCTTTCTTTGATTTGTTATGTTTCTGGGTCTTTATTAAGAAAATTTTGGCTTGTGTCAAGGAGCCCTAAAGTTTCTCCTATTCCTTCCTATAATCTTTTCAGGGTGCCTGCTTTTACTTTGAGGTCTTTGATCCATTTGGAGTTGATCTATCTCTGAGTTTTTTTTTGTTCAAGGCTAGTTTCTACCACTTGAGCCACAGACCAGTTTTGATTTTTTTCTTTTTTCTTTTTTTTGTCAGACTTGGCGCTCAAACTCAGGGCCTGGGCACTGTCTCTGAGTTTCTTTTACTCAAGGCTACCACTCTACCACTAGAGCCACAGTGCTACTTCTGGCTTTTTCTGTTTATGTGGTACTGAGGAATCAAACCCAGGGCTTCATACATACTTGGCAAGCACTCTACTACTAAGCCATGTTCCCAACCTAACTTCTGCCTTTTTCTGAGTAGTTTATTTGAGATAAGAGTCTCTGACTTTCCTGCCTGGGGTAGCTTCAAACCACAATCTTTAGATCTCAACCTCCTCAGTAGTAGTTAGGATGACAGACATGAGCCACTAGCAACCGGCTTCAAGTATTTACCTCTTGATTCAACAGTTGGCTAAATAAAAAAACAAGATCCTAGCCAGGTACCAGTGGCTCATGTCAGAGAATCCCAGTTCAAAGCCAGCCCTGGCAGGAAAGTCATGAGACTCTTACCTCCAATTAACCACCAGAAAACAGGAAGTGGCACTGTGGCACAAGTGGTAGAGTATACCTTGAACTGAAGAGCTGAGGGATAGCACCCAGGCCCAGAGTTCAAGCCCCACGACCAACTAAACAAACAAAAAAAACAAAAACAAAAATCCCTAAAACCAAAAAATTAGGGATTTGGAGTTTTTGTTGTCTTTTACACTATTTAGCCAGTAAGTTAGTTTTAACTTTAAAAACAGCACTAAGCAAATATCAAAATTTGTAATGTACAAGGCCATATATGCCTGCAATCCCAGAACTCAGGCTTTTAGAAAAAGCCAACAATAAAAGCCAAGCATATATGAAATACGGAAAAAAAGCTAAAAAAAAAAAATTAGCGGGAGAAATATAAATATAAATATCCTTTAAACATATTATTTTTGTTTTTAGGAATTAAATTTCTGGCAGAAATATAGCACAAATGTACACACACACACACACACACACACACACATATATAACATGGATAATACATATATAAATTTTTTTAAATTTATTTTTTGGTGGTCCTGGGGCTTGATTTCTGGGCTTGGGCACTGTCCGTACACTCTTCAGCTCAAGGCGAGCACTCTACTGCTTGAGTCACAACGCTTGGAGATAAGAGTCTCATGGACTTTCCTGCCTGGGCTGGCTTTGAACCGTGATCCTCAGATTTTAGCCTCTTGAGTAGCTAGGATTACAGGCATGAGCCACTGGTGCCTGGCTGATACATATATATTTCCTGTACATGGGGGAGCTGGCTTTAAGTAGTCTAAACACATATTCTACCATTGAGCTACATTCTCTTAGTGAAATAGTACATTTAAAATTGGGTAACTATGGGCTGAGAATGTGGCTCAGTGGTAGAGTGCTTGCCTAGCATGCCTGAGGCCCTGGGTTCGATTCCTCAGTACCACATAAACAGAAAAAGCCGGAAGTCTTGTTGTGGCTCAGTGGTAGAGTGCTAGTCTTGAGCACAGAGAGGCTCAAGGACAGAGCCCAGGCCCTACATTCAAGCTCCAGGACTGGCAACAAATAAATAAATAGGGTAAGCACATGTGTTTTGCCATTATTTAAACACACACACACCACATGCGCGCGAACACATGCTCGTGCGCATGCTCACTAAAACATCTATAATAACTAAAAAAAGGGTGTGTGTGGGGGTTATCCAAATGACTTAAATCAGGCACACTCTAATTCTGGACCACTATACAGCTACTTAAACAATAAAGGTGAAGAAAGCTGATGACTCATACCTATAATCCTATCTACTCTGACCTGTTATCTGGGGATCAAAGTCTGAAGACAGCCTGGGCAGAAAAGTCCAGAAGACTATCTCAACTAATCAGCTAAAAGCAAAAAAAAAAAAAAAAGGAAGTATGGCTCACGAGGTAAAACATCAGCCAGGAGTAAAAAAAGCCAAGTGAAAGCTTCAGGGCTTAAATGCGAGCCCCAGTATTCACACACACACACAAAAACAAACACAAAAAAACAGTGCTACAATAAAGATATAGCTCTGTAGTAGAGTATTTGTCTTACATACACAAGGCCCTGAGTCTGATCTCCAGTTCTACAAACAATAAAATTAAAAAATAAATATATGGAAGTAGCTTCATATGTGTTGGCATGGGATAACAGCCTGGTACAAACTGGGAAAAATAATTTACAAATAATTGGGATTTTAAAAACAAAATATGAGTGGGGCGCTGGTGGCTCACGCCTGTAAACCTAGCTACTCTGGAGGCTGATATCTGAGGATCATGGTTCAAAGCCAGCCTGGGCAAGAAAAGTCCAGGAGACTCTTATCTCCAATAAACAACTCAGAAAAAGCTGGAAGTGGTACTAGAAGTGGCTCAAGTGGTAGAGTGCTTGCTGAAGTGCGCAGGGATAGCGCCCAGGGCCAGAGTTCAAGCCCCACGACCAACCAAAAACAAAAAAATGCTGTAGGAACAAGAGTATATGCAACATATCAATCTTAGCTACACGGGCTAGACAGCTTGCACCCCAGGGCCTCAGGTCTCAGCATTAGATATTTCTATAGAGATAAACAACAGAAGGCTACCCAACAAAGTATTAATGGTAGATATCTAGGTAAAAATCAAGAAGGAATGATCCCTTGGCTTCAGCCTGTTGAATGCTGGATTATAGGTATACACCATCCCACCTGGCCTTGCATATTACAAATTTTGGTATTTGTTGGCTAGAGGATTTCAAAATTGAAATATAACTTACTGGTTGAATATATAAAGGCTTTAAAAAATAAAAAGGGATACAAATTACTCTCAGCTCACATTTCTCTTTCTGGCCAATATTCAGCATTAATTTAATGTCTTGCTTTAAATTCTAGCCTTTTTCTGAGGGAGTAAAGTCCATCCCTCCACTAAAAACTCATTTCCCTGAGACGCTCCTGGAAGTTATAGCAAAGGTTGTTACTAAGACAGCAAAATCCTCATACCTTGTTATCAGTGACTAAAAATCAATACACCATTCCCACAAGCATTCTTGAAATAGTCTTTTCTTTTTCATTCTCCTCTCCCTGCTTAGTTATGTCACATGGGGTGATAGCAGCTCCAAGAAAGAAGACAACCAATCTTATCTTAAGAGAGGACCTTGAAAACACACAGGATGTACCACAGGCTAGCCAGGAGTCTTGGGCCAAGTTTCTCCCTAACTGACTCAAAAAGTTGCTTTTAAACAGTTCATTAAAAAGAAAGAAAGAAAGAAAAAACACCATTTAGGTGAGATAGGAAGCACTGTTTAGTGGACAGAGGAGAGAATAAGAAGGGATTTTTTCTCACCTGTCCAGAGATCGACCAGAGAACTCCTGGCTCTGAGCCACTGGGGAAAGGTAAAGATCCATAGTTTCCTCTCCAAGTGTGCACGGGGATGATGCTGGCAGATAAACAGCTGTCCAGAGGTGCAGGGCCCGGACATGACAAACAGGATGCAGAACCTAGGGATATGGCCCAATATTGGTGTTTTGTGAGATGTTCCTGGTCTCTTTTCCTTCCCTAAGCCTTTGACTCTACTACATTCTCCCCACTGACTCAGTCCCTTCTTACAGGTTTCCATGTAGGAGAAGAGTTCAGCCTTACCATGTCTGAGCTGGGTGTGTAGAGGAAGTTATGGAAGTTCTTATTGCCAGCTCGCAGGAGAGCCCACACAGAGCATGTCCGCTTATAGATGTTGCGCTTTTCTCGTTCACAGGGATTGTTGGCCAGGAACGTGCCATAGAGGCAGGAGTACGTATGCTGCACCAGTTTTACCTAGAAGGCACAGACAGGTTGCACCTAGGGGTCCCAGAGCACCATTCCTTCCACCTTGGTCACAGGCTTTAGGACTTACCAGGAATGCTTCATTAAATTCAAACAGGCAGGGGAACTGCTTAAGTAACTGATGAACAGAATCAAGCCACTGGAGGAACACGGGGCATTGTTCATTTTGGTCCTCTGCATTCTCCTGGTGGCCACAGCGATCCCCAAACTTGTGCCCAAAATCCAGCCAGTCAGATTCTACTAACACTTGAAAGCCCTGCAAAAAGCAAACAGTTGAAGCCTAAGTTCTCTCTGGAAGGGCCAGGCTGGGGCTCTCTAGAATACCCAAAGCAGGCAGGTGACAACTGCAAAGAACAAGTCTGAACTTGGAAGAGGACTCAAAGCCACCAATGTCCTCTATAGAAAGATTCCCAAGATCATTCCCAAAAGCCTATCACTATCCTTCCCAACTCCATTCCCTCCATTCTTTCTTTTTTTTTTTTGGTCCGGTTGTGGGGCCTGAACTCTGGGCCTGAGCACTGTCCCTCAGCTCTTCAGCTCAAGGCTAGTGCCCTACCACTTGAGCCACAGCGCCACTTCCAGCTTTTTCCTTTTTGCTTATGTGGTGCTGAGGAATGGAACCCAGGGCCTCAGGCATGCAAGGCAAGCGCTCTACCACTGAGCCAACTTCCCAGCCCTCCCTCCATTCTTTCTTACCCAACCCCCTCTTAATACCTCCAATGTCCTGTAATATGGGTCCAGTAATATTTTGGCCAGGGCTACAATCTGCGGCGTGCGGTCCCAGCCATCAGAGCAATGCACCAACACAGGCCGGCCTTCCCGGTCCACTGTATTAGCCACAAGTACAGCTGCTTTTAGCATCACTGACAAGTGCTGCAGCCACTTGGTACTCTCCAGGGCAGATAACCAGCTATAGAAGAAGAGAAATGAAGCATATCACTGAGAGTACTGAGCTACCAAAATCTTTCTACCCCTCCCAGCCAGTTCTATCCAACAAAGCAGGAAGGCAGGGAAGATAAGATGGAGACAGATAAGAGCTTCTAAGAACCAAGAGAGGAACTGGAAAAAATCACATATATATTTAGCCATTTTATCTCCACAGTCCCCTAAGTTCTTTGAATAGGACAACTGATCTACAAAAAAAAAAAAAAAAAAACACCCAAAGTTCTGTGACCATGCCAAAGTAGTGCCTGAGAAGTAGTTAGTGTTTTTGGATATGGTCCCACTATACCCAACTCTATCCAAATCTGAGGTTTCTTGTACCTCTAACTTTCCATTTCCCAACAAGTCCTCCAAGAAGAGGTAGTATTAAGAGATTAGACTACGGGAATGATGGAATTATAGCAAGGGAATACATACTTGCTGGGATCTGGCATCTGGCTACACACAGCCCGGAGGTATTGGAAGCTATTCCGGATGGCATGGATGTTGGCCATTCCCATAAACACAACCTCACAGTTGGGATAGTATTCTGTAGACATAAGAAGAGAGTGGAGCATAAAAGCATGTCCTGGAAACAGGCAGCCAGGACAAGAGCAGTCTCAATGGACAAAGCTTTCCTGGCAGGGCCAAACATTCTGGACAGAAACTATATATACTCTTAACATCCAAATTGCACTTTTATCTCTGGATACTCAGAGTAGTAATACTAGTAGTAATAATAATGATAACAGTAGTACAAAAAATGACAATTTATAATCAATTATCAATAGCTGCTCTATACCAGTACTTTGTGTTTGTATGTGTATAAGTGTATATGTATATGTCAGTCCTGAGGCCTGGGTGCTGCCCCTAAGCTTTTGTACTCAAAGCCAGTACTCTACCACTTGATTCACAGCTCCACTTTTGGTTTTTTGGTGGTTAACTGGAGATAGGAGTCTCACAGACTTTCCTGCCTGGGCTGGCTTTTGAACTGGGATCCTCACATCTCAGCCTCCTGAACAGCTAGGATCACAGGTATGAGCCATTGGCACCCAGCCTATACCAATACTTTTATAACCCCTAGTCATCCCAACAACCTTGTGAGTTACAGATGAGAAAACTGAGATGAAGTAACTTAAGCTTCATAATCATATCTAGTAAGTGGCAAAGTCTTGGCTCCAAGTAGATTAATTTAGTTCTTTCCACTACACATAAGCAACTCCCAACTTCCGCCTCACCAAAGCTACTTAGGACACAGGATACCTTCATATACTGGGTAACAACAGTACCTTCACATTCACAGCCTCCACCCTTGGCCCGGTTAGCTACTGCTGCTGTGTAGGAGCGCGCATCCAGGATCAGCAGTTTTTGGGGTGCTGCTGTGCTCTCCACCCCTGAGCATGCAGTCAGGGAAGAATCTAAATACACAGCAGGAAGAAGACTCAAGGTTAGCCATCCATCCAGCATCACTCCAATCCTATGTATTCTCGCTCAGAAGAGAGGAATGTGCAAGTACACATTTCATACCCCACCACCTCCCCCAAACAAGAGATCCAGGCAGTCTATATTGTTGTCTTCTTCCTATTATTTTATTAGAGACCCCTTAGAAATCAGAGGGGCCATGGAGAAGGCCTGCTGCTTGGGGAACCAGTATCACATATGTCTTACCGAAGTCAGTGTCACATGCCTCACTGGCATCATTATTCCCGGTGCTGAGGGAGCCCCCACTGGCCCTTGTCCCTGGATCCAGGGCACAAGCCTTGGCAATGGATGTAACGAGATACTCATCATCAGCATTGCGCCAACCCCACCAGCTGATCTCAGGCTGGCTGCAGCGGGCAATGGCAGCCCCATTGCGCAGGTGTCTGACAAGATAGAAGAAATCATAATGCCCTTGGTATTCCAAGCCTCCAGAAGCCTGGTGAAGACCTCAGGGGGCCAGACCAAGGTCTCCAGAGCCAGCAGAGGATACCAACATATCCAGGTCACGATAATAGCAACCAAATGCCTTAACATCTCTAGAGAGCTGGACAGTTTACAAAGCACTATCACACTCATTTTCTCAAATGGGCTCTGTATTCCCAAGGTGACCTTGACTCATCAAATCTGCACAGCACCTGCTCCTGGTTCAGACTTGCAGCAGGAGAACAAGGCTTGAGCCAAGAACATGAACGATTCCAAACCTCACAGTTGCTATCTTTCTCACTCTTTCAGCTACCTTTTTTTTTTTTTTTCCTGTAGTGGTAGTGTACTAGAGTTTGAATTCAAACCTTGTCCTTAAACTGCATCTCTGGCCCTTTTTAAAAAGCAAAAAAACAATCCTTTAAGCAAGGCATGGTGGGTCAAGATTATAATCTCATGTACTTGAAAGGCTGGGGCAGAAGCATCAAGAGCAGCTTGAGCTACACCACGAGTAGATTAGGCTCAAACTATATAGTGAGACCTGTCTCAAAATAAACAAAACATTAAAAACTTTTAAAATGTAATACTGTTCTGAGCTCCCAGACTATACTCTCTGGTCCATAGGTCACCTTGCCATCCTTTGTACTAATGCAGCATTATGCCCTTAAAACAAAGGCAAGGAGCTGGGAAGGTGGCTCAGTGATATAGTGCTTGCCTTGCATGCATGAGGCCCTGAGTTCGATTCCCCAGCACCAAATAAGCAGAAAAAGCCAAAAGTGGCATTGTAGCTCCAGTGGTAGAACACTAGCCTTGAGCTGAAGAGCTGAGGGACAGCGCCCAGGCCCAGAGTTCAGGCCCCACACCGACAAAAAAAAAAAAAAAAAAAAAAGCAAAGGCCTTTTCCTTCAGAGGAAAACAAAAAACAAAAAAAACCTGAGGCGGTTTTTGTTTTAAAATAATTTCATAGTTAATTCCCCTAGGACTGTCAATTCCCACTTTAAGGTTTGGCTGTTCAAACTTCAGATTTGGATTCTTTCCTTATTGAAAAAACAAACAAATAGGCAAGCAAAAACAACTTCCCATTCCATATTGACTCACCTATACACAACCACAGGGATACGCTTCCAAGAGCGAAAGGAAGCTACATTCTCCAGTTCTTTATCTGTGATCCACACAGGAACCAGCAGCTTCTGGGGGTAACTGGGACACAACCTGAGAAGATACGGGGATGGTGGGGGGTGTCACCAAACTAGGTTTAAAATATATGATAACAAGACCCATGGCTTTGTGGGACGAGAATTAGAGCCCTCCTCCCTCTCAGACCCAGGAGCTGTGCCCTTTATACTTCATCCACATATGGAGAAAGTTTGGGTCTGGATTGGGGTTTTTGTCTCCCAGCCACGCCCTCTCACTTGTAGTTGCTGTTGATATGTGAGACTCTCCAGACATTCTGTAGGTCAAAGCCCATCCTCGCCAGCTCTGCCTCCTGCCGACATCGTATGTGCTCTCCTGCAACACAGCCCCCACCTGTCAACTCCCCAGAGCACCAATGTCCAGACGTAGAGAAGGGATGAGAACTAAGGGTTAAGAAGCAGCCTCCCCAAGAAAACAGCCCAACCTCACCAGGCTGACACAGATGGGTGTGCTGGTCCTCCTCAGTCAGCCCTAGGCACCAGGCATGATAGGCAAAGGCAAACAGATCCTCAGGCTTGGCAGGTCTTGCTGTGGCCCTGCTTAGCCTAGAGAGCCACTCTTGGCACTGCTTGAAAGTAGAGAAGTGGCACCTGCCAGGAAAGAAGTCACAGGTTTGGATGAGGCAAGAGACAGATATGCCATGGGGCCATAAGAGAAAAAAAACACAGAAAGTCTATGAGAGGAGGCTGCAAAGCAAGGTTAGGCAATGGGACCCTCCTATGGGGACCAAGCGTACTGGCCAGCATCCAATCATCTCTTGTGACAATTCTGGAGTAAGTTCTGCCCACCATATTGCCACTTGTTAAGTTTTCTATCAGCAACTAGCCTTTAGCCATGAATTTGAACACATGCAGGATCTAAACTAGGCATCCTCATAATGCTTCTTGAAGTCATTCCAGCCCTCTCTTGGTATCATGTTCAATTATCTTTACCATTACCTCCAAAATAGACCCAGAATCTGATTTTTACTACAATGACTACAATTTTGACTACAATGACTCTAGCTAGGCCACCAACATGCCTCACCAGGGAAACTGAAATAGCTTCCTAACTAGTCCCCCAGCTTCTGCCTTGGCTCTTTCCTGTTTTCTTCCATCTCGTCTCAATATAGCAGCCAGAGTGATTCTATAAAACATTAATCAGTTCACGTCACTTCTTTGCTTACAACCCTCCAGAGATTTCTCAATTCCCTCAAAGTAAAAGCTAATCATCATGACATGCCACCCCCCCCACTGTCCTCTCAGGCCTTATCCCCCAATACTCTCCCCCATGTGCACCCTTCCAATCACATTAGCCTCCAATCATTCTTCAAATATCCAGGCAGAGGCAGGAAGCCACCACAGGTGGAATAGTCCTCACTGTTGCCTCTAGCACACTCCTCTGTCAAATCCCCTCATGGTCATTTTTCAGATCCTGACTCAGCTGTCACCTCTCCTGCATAAACATTCACTGATCACTTGTTAAAGTTACAATCTTCCTCCCTATAACAAATCCTCTTTACCTTTTTCTTTTCTCTCCCAGTAATGGGGTTTGAGATCAAAGCCTCCATTTGAGCCATACTGCCTTTTTTGCTTTAGTTCTTATTTTTTCAGGTAGAGGCTCATGCTTTTGCCTGGGGCAACCCCTAGATTATTATCTGCCTACCTCTACCTCTCAAAAAGCTGAGATTATAGGCACAGCTTCAAATAAAGAAATTTACTATAATATCTTTTTTTTTTGGGGGGGGGCGGGGGAGGGGTCATGGGTTTTGAACTCTGGCCGAGTGTTGTCCTTCAGCTCTTCAGCTCAAGACGAAGCACTCTACCACTTTAGCCACAGTGCCACTTCTGGTTTTCTGATGGAGAAAAGAGTATCATGAATTTTCCTGCCTGGCTTGGCTTTGAACTGTGATCCTCAGATCTCAGCCTCCTGAGTAGCTAAGATTACAGGCGTGAGCCACTGATGCTTGGCTACAATGTCTATCTTGTTTGAGACAGTCTTGCAAATTTTTGGCCCAGGATGGACTTAAACCACAATCTTCATATGTCTTCCTTCCATGTAAGTTTAAGATTTCAGGTAGGTAATACTATGCCCAGCCCCTTCTCCCTATTTTAGTTTTTCCTTTATACTTACCTCATGTAACATATTTCATTTACTTTTTACAGTTAGTACCTCCCCCATTGAAATATAAGCCCCTTAAGAGCAAAGAGATTTGTTTATTTATTCTCTGCTATATCTTCAGACCTAAAACAGTCTGGTATAAACTGCTCAGTAAGGACACAGTAAATGAATAAATAACCAACAATAATGTGAGTGCACTCTGTCAGATATTGTCCTTAATTGCTTCCATATACATTATCTCACTTAATCTTTATGATGACTCCATGAGCTCAGGTCAAAAGAGTATGGCTAAATAAACTGACTCCCAATCTAAAACAGAGAACAGAATTTTCATTTTTTCCTCCAATAGGTAAGGTGAAAGAATATCTTTCCTTTTTTTTCGGGGGGGGTCCGGTCATGGGGCCTGAACTCTGGGTCTGGGCGCCGTCCCTCAGCTCTTCAGCTCAAGGCTAGCACTCAACCACTTGTGCCACTTCCGGCTTTTTTCTTTTTGCTTATGTGGTGCTAAGGAATTGAACCTAGGGCCTCATGCATGCAAGGCAAGCACTCTACCACTGAGCCACCTTCCTAGCCCTATGGTTCCTTTTTTTGTTCCAAAGAAACCCTGAAACAGACCTACTCAAGATTGAAGGTAAGAGGACATGAACGAGGCCTCAATGATCTCACCTGACCACTTTGGAGTCCTTGCAAGCAATGTGTAACTGGAACATATCACGGCTCTCCACACTGTCAATCATCCGGAGGGGGACCTTCAGAGAAGGGCAAACAGACTCAGATCTCCTACTCTTGGCACCACTCATCCCCCACCCCAGCCCAGGTGATGATACACTAATGGAAGCAAGGAAACTGGCATTGTCTGCAGGCCTGTTATGTGCCTGGTAACTGTGCTGGTTCCTTTACATATGTGATCAATTAATAACAATAGCCCTACAAGGTGTTTTCACTGTATATTTTAAGGAGAAAGCCAGACGTGTCCAAGGTGATACAGCTAATAAGCAGCAGTGCAGGAAAAGAGCCTAGGTTTGCCTGGTTCCAAAGCCCATGATCTTGTAACAAAACCACTGTGCCCCTTAGAAAGGCCCACAAAGTAAAGGAAAAAGGAGAAGGAAGAATGAGCCAAAGACAGAGACAGACCTATGGCCTAGAAGAATGAGAGCAGAGAATTTACTTTTCTGGCCAGTGAGAAAAATAAGGGCACTCCAACTGTTTTTAGAGACCTAATCAGATAGAACAATGGAATAACATCATCTTGAACCTCCGATTCTATAGGAAAATGAGAAAGAAACTCACGTTGATGACAGAGTCCTTGAACTTGATATGCAGTCGGTAGTTGGAAATGGCAATGAGAGCATCAGCAGCCCGACCCAGGAACTCCACTCCCTCACCCTGCAGCACTGTGAAGGGTACCTGCCAAGGGTCAAGGGAAACTCAGTCCAGAATTGAGTGTCCTCCTCATTCTCTTCTGCAGACCCTGTTCTGTGGGATCTCATCTGGAAAAGCTGAACCAAGGCAGGAAAGGAGTCACAGCACTAGGCCCCAGCTGCACAGGAAAACTGCCTTTCCTTCCCTGGGGCCAAAGATTCCAAAAATATATATAACAACCAAGCCCCCAGCCCTCCACATATCCATGAGCAGGAAGCCAGAGCTTGGGAACTAGATCCTCTTAGAATTTTTTTTTGAGAGAGGGTTTTGTTTTTGTTATTGTTGTTTTTTGGTTGGTAGTGGAGCTTGAACTCTGGGCTTAGGCACTGTCCCTGAGCTCTTCAGCTTAAGGAGAGTGCTCTACCACTTGAGCCATAGTGCCACTTCCAATTTTCTGGTGGTTTACTGGTGATAAGAGTCTCATGGATGGCCGGGCGCTGGTGGCTCACGCCTGTAATCCTAGCTACTCAGGAGGCTGAGATCTGAGGATCACGGTTCAAAGCCAGCCCAGGCAGGAGAGACCTTGAGACTCCTATCTCCAATAAACCACCAGAAAACCAGAAGTGGCGCTGTAGCTCAAGTGGTAGAGCGCTTGCCTTGAGCTGAAGAGCTGAGGGTCCGCGCCCAGGCCCAGAGTTCAAGCCCCACAACCGAAAAAAAAAAGAGTCTCATGGACTTTTCTGCCTGGGCTGGCTTTGAACTGTTATCCTCAGATCTCAGCCTCCTGAGTAGCTAGGATTACAGGCATAAGCCACTGGTGCCCAGATTAGAGAGGGTGTTTTTTGTTTTGATTTGGTTTTTGTCTGTCAAGGGACTTGAACTCTAGGACTAGGCACTATCCCTGAGCTCTTCAGTTCAAGGCTAGTGCTCTACCACTTGAGCCACAGTGCCACTTCCAGCCTTTTTTGTTTATGGGGTGCTGAGGAACTGAACCCAGGGCCTCATGAATGCAAGGCAAGCACTCTACCACTAAGCCACCTTCCCAGCCCCAAGAGGGTGTTTTTTTAACTGTACCTCCAACCCTAGGCCTCCAGTTCCACCTTACCTGAAGGTTTTCCTCCTCCTTCACTAGTTCCTTGGGGGGAAACAGATCCTTGGCTTGGATGTACTCCAGGCTGGGGGGGCCCTCCTCACCCTGTAGAAAGGCCACATCCCTGAGTCACCAGGCTCGACTTGGCCCCTGAGAATCACTTGCTTTCCTTCCCCATCAATCGAAAAACACTCCCCACACACTTCTAAAGGTTCTGGCTACTGGAGAAGTTAAAGGAGAACTGGCTTGGTTGAGGTAGGGAAGAGTGAAATGAAGGTGCCCTGGAGCCTAATAAACCTAAAAGAACCTAAGCCAAGGAGGAACTGGAAACCTGCACTTTTTAAAGAAGAACTCTCCTTAGAACGTAAATTTCAAAACTAGGAGGAGGGGAGAAAACTAAGAAAAAGACTAGAGTGAGGACAAAACAGGAGCAAGGAATGGGAATAGGAGAATGTTGGCTGCAAGAAAAGGAGCCAGGTGTGGCAATTGGTTACATAGAGCAGGGCAATCAGGCACCCTCAGCAACAGTAGCTTCAATCTGGTGGGTGAAAGGAGACAAAGAAGAGTAGGTTGGGGGGATTCAGTCCCATGCCTCTAGAGGGCCTTCGTGGATACTTTCAAAAGGAGGATGTGTTTTGGAGCTGAGCTTATCTTCCTATTAGGCCCACTAGGCTGACAAGCCTCCACTACCTGCCAAGCAACCTACCCCGCCTGCTGATCTTAGGGGAATTCCAGAGGAATACCAACAGCGAGCAGAAGTCACTCTGCTCCCAACCACCGAGGAGGGGAAACGAGAATCCACGCACCAGGGAGAAGCCAACAGAACCAAAAACAGCCAAGGCAGAGTAGAAAGGGGGGGGGGGGGGGCAGACACCCACGGGGGTGGGGAGGGAGGGAGGAAGGGGTTGTAGGTGTGGGAACATCTGAGAGGACAGATGGGGAAAGCTGGGAAGGAGCATTAGCCAGAGGGGAGGAGGGGAAACCAGGGAATGATGCAGAGGCACAGAGCCCTGCAGAGGCAGGGAAGGTGAAGAAAAAAGAGCTGTCTGGGGGACAGTCAAGGAGAAAAGACTAGCATGTCAGGTGAGAAATGGAGTGTGGAAGGGGGAGGGGACTGGAGATGGGGAGACAGCGTACAGTCATCCTAAACTCCCCGACCAGCCCCCTAACATCCCATACCATCTACTAGCCACATCCCACATCCCCAAGCAAGGATGCAGCGGGTGGGACCAAGATGGAGAGGCGGAGGTAGAGGGATGCACCCCTGCAGGGCGGGGCCTGGAGATCTGCAGTCAAGGGCAGTGGCTGCAGGGCCAGGATGGGTCACAGAATTCCCACCACGGCCTACAACAATCCCCAGCACCCGAAGATTGAAGCAAGACCAAGAATGAAAAGGGCTGACCCTCCACCCCGGCTACCAAACGTTTGGGGTCGGGCCAGGGGCCCTGGGAAGGGGGATGGGCTGACAGTATCTCAAGGGCTGGCCTTGGGCGGGGCTGCCAGTGCAGCAAGCGGATGGATCCCCCGGACCCCCCGCAGGCAGGCCTGGCACTTACGAAGCAGCTAAGCATGGAGCAGGAGACACGGCCGGTCAGGCTCATGGTCGCGGGCAGTCTGGGCCAGCGCACATGTCCCCGGAGCTGCTGCGCTGCCCGCCGGCCCCGGGCACCCGCCGCATCCCGGCTGCGGGACCCGCCAGGTGCAGCCGCGGCCAGAAGCGAGCGCGCGGGCGGCGGAACCCCAGCTCGGCTCCAGCGCGCCTCTCCCCTCCTCTCCACAATGGAGCGGGCCCGGCTCCGCCCTCCGGCACGAGCGCGAAAGGGAGGGGACCCGGCGAGGGGGAGCCCAGGACAGCGCCGGGTAGGCGGAGGCCGAGAGGCTCACGCGGCCCCGCCCACCACCCAGGCCCCGCCCTCCGCGCAGTCCCCGCGCTGCTGCGTGGGAGGACAACCCCAGGGACATCTAGGGGCGTTCTGGTGTGTGACCTAGGGGACCGCCCTAGGATCACTGCACCGGGAAGGCAGAGCCGCCCTCGCCTTTTCGTTCCTCATCTTGCCAGGTGAGCCACCCCACGCCCCTTGTCTCACATAGCATTCCTATTCTCTACAGTTCCCTCACCGCCAGCTCTTGATGCCAAGAAATAAGTTCCAGCAGTATCTCCACCCCATAGACCCTTCCAGTTCCAATACTTTCTCCTTTCCATCCAAAATTACCACTTATAAGCGTCCTCCGCTCCGCTGACCTCACTGAACTCTTTTTGTCCCCCTTAGAATGAATACTGGTCTGGTGCCAGGTTAGTCATTCCACACTCCTGAAAGGGAAATCCTTTGCATTTTTTATTTCATGGCCTTGCCCAACCCTTCTCCCCCCTTGTTTCACATCCTCTGATCACTGGAATAGAAAATACTTATTAGAGAATTTCTTAGTCTGGAAAAGACTAGAGAAGCTGTTGAAAAAAATAAAAACACCAGAAATCAGGGCTGGGAATGTAGCTTAGTGGTAGAGTGCTTGCCTAGCATGCGTGAAGCGCTGGGTTCGATTCCTAGTACCATAAGAACAGAAAAAGCCAGAAGTGGCACTGTGGCCCAAGTGGTAGAGTGCTATCTTTGAGCAAAAGAAGCTCAAGGACAGTGCCTAGGCCCTGAGTTCAAGCTCCAGGACTGGCAAGAAAAAAAAAAAAGAAAAAAGAAAAAGAAATCAAACCCAGGGATAGAAAGAGGGTAAAAAGTTGGGTTGAGGACCAAGAAATAATGAGTACAAATTGTACACTGTCACTAAGAATAAAAAAAGGAGCTAGCTAGACCCCTGAAATTTCCTGTACTCAGAAAAGCAGGGGTTTTGTTTTTGGGGAAGAGAACTAATGGAAAGAAAAAAAAACCCGACATTTTATTAAACATCTATGAGTCAAGTCATTTCAAACATACTTGAACTCTCCAGGAAGTCTTATCCTGTTTTTATGATGAGACTTTAGATTTAGAAAGTATGATTAGCTAGTATGTGATTTGCCTAATGTATTTAAGTGGTGGTGCTAGATTTAAAATTAGATGAGGCAAATATGAAGAGTATGCTATTTTTCAGGGTATCACAGAGGTAAAAAAGAGATTGTAAGGCCAGGGCCACTGGGATTCTTTCTTTCCCTTTTCTTTTTTTTTTTTTTTTGTGTGTGTTGGTACAGGGGGTTGAACTCAGGACCTCATGCTATTGCTTGGCATTTGTGCTCAAGGCTGTGCTCTTCCAGCCTTTTGCTGGTTAATTAGAGGTAAGATCTCAAGGACTGTTCTGCCCAGGCTGGCTTTGACTCACAATCCTCAGATCTCAGCCTCGAGGGGAAGGCTGGGAATGTGGCTTATTGGTAGAGTGCTTGCCTAGCATGCATGAAGTCCTGGTTTAAGTCCTCAATACCACATAAACAGAAAAAACCAGAAGTGACTGTAGCTCAAGTGATAGAGTGCTAGCCTTGAGCAAAAGAAGCTCAGGGACAGTGCCCAGACCAGGACTGGCAACAGAAAGAAAGAAAGAGAGAGAAAAGGAGAGAGAGAGAGAGAGAAGAAAGAGTACAGGGGATTATAGGCTCCATTTGAGCTTTCTGAGAAGAAACCAGACCAATATTACACACACCACAGATGTACATTTCTATAGAAGAAAAATTGGGAAGGAAGGAGTCCTCTCACCAACTGAATTCACTGACCTGTCCCTAAGCCCAGGCACTTGAAATAGAAAAGGAGGTTAAGAGCCAGGTCTAGGGAGGCTTTGCAGCTCTCCTTTCTCATTTCACTGCTTCCTTCCCCCAGTTCTCAGGAATTAAGGAATTCCCTGAATTTGGGGTGAAAGGGCAGTTACAGTTAATGGGAAATACATAGGATTGTGATAAACTACATCTAGTGATATTCAGGATGCTATACTGTAAGATATAAAGTCAGCTGTCACATACAGTGACAGACTGCAGTACCTAGGAGCTGGAGAAGGCCAACAGATTTGGTGATACAGCAACTACAACATTCCTGGGACCCATCAGAAGTCCAAGGACCTTAAGTAATGAAGACCTGGCTCTTTAGGCCAGAATGTGGAGATTTTCCCAGGAACACAAGAAAAGGAAGAGGAGGACTGTTAATGAAGCACATGCAGAAAAAACAACTATAGGTTTTGGATCTAGGGCTGTAAACTGCCTTATTTTTTTCATTCCAAAGAAATCCTGGGCTGGGGGTGAAGCTCAGTGGTAGAACACTTGCACAGTATGTTGCAAGGTCCTACAGCACAAAAAGAAAAAAGAAATTCTCATATATCTCCAGGGCAGAGGAACCTGTCCAGAAGTTGAACAGAATAGCCTGGAGCTCAAGGTCCAAGAGGGGTGGGGCAGCTTCACAGAGATGAATTCAGGATTATAGAAAACACAATGGTATGAGGAAAAAGTACTCACCATTCTACCGGGGTGAGGGTCCTGACTGTCTGTTAGTCACTATAAAGAAACACAAACATAGAGTAAAAAGCACCGTTAACATTACCATAGAATCAATAAACACCCCACACCTACCCCTGAACTACTTCTCTACAGTTCTTATTTTCCTCCCTCACACAAGATCCAAGCTCTCAACAAGCCACCACACCAGATAGGGACAATGGGGGCCACATGGGGAGAAAGCAACAAGTGTCTTGCAGGGCATAAGTTAGCCATAAAACTCTGAAGCAGAAAGAGTATCATCCACACTTTCTCAGTAGAACTGAGTACTGACTCACAGATCAAGAAGGTGAAGTAGAATACTCCAAACTCTGTCCTTTTCAGAAGAAATTCCAACTTTGAAGATACAGAGGCTCCCCAATTTTTGCCCTTGTGGAAGCATGAATCCACAGGACTGTTTGGCTATTCTCTTGGGTATGGGAGTAGCATCCACCTGACCTATTACTGGGGACAGAGTCCAAAGCATGGGGCAAGAGAGAAAGGACCACAACCTGTGATAAGAGAGCAACTAGGCTGGACAGGCCCTGCTGAGCATACTTGACACCAAGTAGGGTGCAGGTTATGGGGATGAGACAACACAACAGGAAAAGAATCAGACCAGGTAGGCCTGGGAGTCAGTATCTGTCAAATGAGTTCAAGTAACAAGAATTTCAGGATGAGGCCTTCTAGGCCCACTTAGTGAGCCAGGCCTAAGTCAATTGATATTTTCCTTCAAACCTGCTATGTCTCTGAAGCAGTGTGGCATAGCTTCTGCAGAGCTAAAAGCCTCTACGTGTGGTCCCACCCATCTCCTCCCGATCACACTACCCTCTGCCTCTGCCCACCTTCCCTCACTGGGGAGCCCGCAAGCGGCCAGCCAGAGGTGCTGCCTCACCGCCCACTGGCACGCAGCCTCAGGGAAAAAGAGGGAGGAGGAACAGGGATCAGACCTGGAAAACCCAGGGCTCCCTGACCTAGGGAATCTGGTCCTGGGGCACGGGCCAAGCTGGCAGGGGATCCCAGGTGCCCAGGTTCCAGAGGCGGAGCCTAAAGACTCGGAGGTGGAGCCCCGAATGACAGAAGGCGGGACTCAAGAAAGCCAGTGGGGGGCCGGGGCGGGGCCGAGCCAGGCGAGGTCTTTGCGGTTTCCAGGCTGGCCGTGCACGGGGCACAGTGACTCACCCAGGCAGTGTCCGCCCGACCCTCCAAAACAGCGCTCTCACCACTTCCGTCTCCCGCAGCTGCTGAGGCCGCGCAGCTCGAACCCCACCACGGTCCCCTCTCCTCAACCAATCGTATCGAGGGCCTGTGCCCGCCCTGGCCAATGGCCACACCAAGTCCCGCCCTACCTCATCACGCAGCTGCCGCCTTCACTCTCCACACCGCTCATTGGTCGAGTGAGCAGACGCCCTCTGAGATTCTAGCCTATCGGGTGCCCGAAGACAAGACAGTACCTGGAGGGAAGAGGTGCCGGCGCAAGAGAGCAGACACAGCCAATGGGAAATCACAGCGCGTCCCTGCGGCAACCAATGGGAAAGCAGCACAAGGGGGCTGCTGACTATGATTCCGGGGGCCGGAAGTGGGAGCGGCCTGTCGCCTACTGGTAGCGCAATTGAAGGCGGGGCATCGTTAGGGGCAGAGGTCTTGAGGCCGCTTTCGGTGACGGCCAAACCCGTGGGGTAGTTCTCTAGTAGATCCCGGTGGCGCTTCAGTCTAACTCAGTGGAGTTCTGTTTCGCTGCGGTCATCATGAAATTCCAAAACAAAGAATTGTAGAAAACCCCCACAGACTAGGAAAGAGGGGAAAGGCTGGGCCTGAAACTCCTTCTGAACCTCCAATAGGCGGCGCAGGGGTTTCCTCTTTCCTCCAATTCTTTTTTTTTTTTTTTAATCGACAAATGATCCTGCTGTCCTTCAAGACCTGCATTGTCTCCAGTCCCATATAAAGCTCTTTCATAGGAGCAGGGTGGGGCGAATACCATCTGAGACAGCCACTAGCTGGCTGCGGCCTCCTGGGTCTGTGTAAAGGGCGGGCAGGGTCCTTAAGACACCTCCAGAATCCAGAGCGGGCCACAGAAGGACGGAGGGTGGCCGCTGGAGGTCGCCGTGGCCCCGCGACACCAGGAACCAGAATGCTGGATTCGAATTCTCTCAACAGTTAGCTGAAATAAGGTCTGAACGCTACACCAGGGCCCCACTGCTGGCGTCTTCACGTCTTTATGGTACAATTAGCAAGTTCCAGGAAAAGAGGAACCATGCCAGTGTTCACCACTTTAATTCCAGAGTTTAGAATAGTGAGCAACTTTAGCAGATGGGTTTTGTTCAATGCTCTATCATAAGTGTCCTAGGGTTTTAGAGCTTAGTTCTGCATATCCCTTTACCAAGATCAAGAGAAATAGGAAGTCAGGAGGCAGTACATAATTTTTCCCCAGAAGCCTAGTGTCACACCCAATACTGTTACTAAATTAAAAGGTACCATATGAAGGAAAGGTGTAGAGAGGCAGATAATAGAGGCAGGTTATTATAGCCAATAAGATAAAGAGGCTAAGCAGACCAAGCATTGTTGTTGGAAGGGGAGCCCTCCCCCCACCCTCTTAATAAAGGCCAGAAACCAATAACCCACACCATCAGACTCTTAAACTGGGTCCTGGGATCTTTGTCTTATGAGGTGGTAGCAATAAATAGGGCTGGGCACAGTGGTTCACACTTGCAATTCTAACTGCTCAGGAAGTGTTTTCAAACTCAATAGTTTTGATGCCAGCCCAGGCAAAAAGTTAATGACACTCCATCTCAAGAAAAAGCTGAGCATGGTGACAGACCTATTACACCCAAGAAAATGTAAAATAGGAAGATCACAATTTAGGTCACCTGAGGTAAGAAAAGTAAAATCCTACTGGATTGGCTCAAATGGTAGAGTCCCTGTCTAGCAAGTACAAGACCCTGAGTTCAAAACCTAGTGTAATTGCCAAAATTGGGAAGGTGGCTCAGTGGTAGAGTGCTTGCCTTGCATGCCTGAGGCCCTGGGTTCAATTCCTCAGCACCACATAAGCAAAAAGAAAAAAGCCGGAAGTGGCACTTGAGGCCCTGGGTTCGATTCCCAGCACCACATAAGCAAAAAGAAAAAAGCCGGAAGTGGCACTGTGGCTCAAGTGGTAGAGTGCTAGTCTTGAACTGAAGAGCTGAGGGACAGCGCCCAGGCCCAGAGTTCAGGCCCCACAACCGGACCCAAAAAATAAATAAATAAATAAATAAATAAAAATACAGACAGGAACACAAGAAGCCACCTATAGATTTATTAAACTTTATTTCCTCTGAGTCTCTGAGGAGTCAGCAGGGATATAAGGCGAAGTGGCAGTAGCTGCAGGGGCCTGAGCAGAGCTGGTGCTGGGAGGGGCTGGCAGGAGCAGAAAGAAGACATTTAAATATCCAGGTCCAAAAGCCAGTTAATGGGTCTCCTTCATCTGTCTTTGGATTTTGTGTAGCATCTCCTGCATCCGCCGCAGCTGGAATAGTCATATGCATCAAAATGAGGCTTTTTGGAGTCCCCAACTTTCAATCCCTTGAGTCAGGGCCTTGGTAGCCCTGAGATATGATGGAGGCTGGGAACATACCAAATATGCACCAGAACCAGGATTTTTCTGTCTCCAAACTAGGAGATACATCTATGATCAAACAGGGGACCTCCCATGCTGTCTACCCCTACTACCACATACTGCTCTCACCTCCTCATCTTTCTCTCGGATTAGCTTCTCAGTTTCTGGATCTGTCCCTAGTGGGACAGCAGGGATGGGGAAGTCAGTACCACTCTCTCGAGTCAGTTTGCTAGGGGGGAAGGGGAAAGGAGGGTGGTAAGGTTAGGGGGACCCCATCACCATCTTGGGTTGAGCCCAGGGCCTGTAGAAGAATAAGGGAAGGGCTTGTCCTAGCTCCTGGTCATACTTGCGATTTCGTTCCTTCACCACTAGGCGGGTCATACTCTGGATGCACTGTGCCCTGTAGTTCTCATAATGTGTCTCCCGAGTCACATCCTTCAGATCCTGCATGTGGGTACGCACCAGCATTGTCCTCAGCTTCACAAAGTCGCAGTGCCCTGGGTTTTCCACTGCATAGCAAGGCTGAGGTCAGCCAGGGGTATGGGTAGACGGGAGCCACTAAGGTCAAGGAGATACTTTGATCATAAGCTCAGTCCTTTACCTTCCACGATGCCCCAAGGGTAAAGTCGGCCCCGAACTCGCCGCCCCCTGGCTTCTACCACAGTATTGCTGCCAATTACCGCAAATGGGATGCTTTCCTAAAAGAAGTTAGGGGTGCCTGTCAGCACCCCACATCCTCACCTGTTTCTTTTCATCTGTGACTTCTGTTTTTTCTAGGAAGCTTAGGGTCCTCTCCCACCCCAAAGACTGTCATTACAGAGAATTCTACCCCCTTCTTCTTCCCAGGAGAAACAAGATGTGAAAGGGGTGCCCTGGGGTGGCCCCACCTTTAGGGCTTGGTCCTGTAATTTGAAGTCCTCATCCTCATCAGAGTCACAATCAGGAAACTGATAGATCTTGATTCCAAAGTACTCAATCTCCTCCCGGATCTGACAAATAGATGAGGGGCCCACAGTTCTGGGCACCCCATCCTTTTTAGAAGCCCACCTGCTCCCTTTCCCCCACCAGCTTCCCTCACTTTGCGTTTCTTGCGGTCCACTTCTGGAGGTGTCAGTGTGTCCGCCTTAGCCAAGATAGGCACGATGTTGACCCGCTGATGCAGGGCCTTCATGAACTCAACATCCAATGGCCGGAGCCTGAGGAACAGGAATCTGTGACCACCTGCTAGTGGCAGCCCTGCCCCGGTGCTCTTGGCCTGTTCCCTTAGTAGCACCCGGTGGTGCCAGGAGACTCAGGCTCAGACCATACCCGTGGCCGAAGGGTGAGATGAAGTACAGGCAGCAGTGCACCCTGTTGTCTTGGATGTTCTTTCGGTTCAGGCCACTTTCATCCCGGAAGTACTGCTCGAACTGCTGGTCGATGTATTCTGCCACAGGTTTCCAGCTGGGCAGGGACAGACAAGCAGAGAAACTGTGGGAGTAGGGGCTGTCTAGTGGGCTCTGGGATTGTAAAGAAGTAGCCCATGATGAACAGCATTTTCTAGATACTGTTATTCCCTGGCTTGTTTTACTACATCTTCAGCAATATACCTCGGTGGGACAGAGATGTATTTCATATGTCCTGATAGGAAGTTAGAGTGATTACAGAGGCAAAATTCAAAAAATTCTAGTTTGACAAGAAAAAGTGCTCAGGTGATCAAACAAAGCAGTAAGAATTGCAAGGTGCCCAGGTGCTAGTGGCTCAGGCCTGTAATCCTAGCTACTCAGGAGGCTGAGATCTGAGGATCATGGTTCAAAGCCAGCCCAGGCAGAAAAGTTTGTGAGATTATTATCTTCAGTTAACCACAGAAAACCAGAAGTGGGGCTGTGGCTCAAAGTGGTAGCACACTAACCTTGAACAAAAGAGCTCAGTGACAGGTGCCTAGGCCCTGAGTTCAAGCTCCACAACAAACAAAATAATAATAATAGCAATAATAATAATATCAAGGTGGCTACAGGTGAACACCAACCAACTAGAAGCCAGAGAAACCCTAAGTCAGGTTTAAAGTCCATCCTCCAGAGCCTTTGCTCATGTGGTTCCCACTCTTTTCCCACCTTTCCAAGCCCATTTCAAGGCCCTATTCAAGAACTAGCTCTTCCATGAAGACTCTTTTGACTACATCAGTGAACACTGCTCTTCCCTTCCTTACACATTCACACATATAGTCATCCACTGTATAATAATGTTCAGACCAACTTTGGATCTCATATACTTCAGTGGTGCCATCAGATTATAATGGGGCTAAAAAATCAGCAGTATATCATAGCACCGATGCATAATTTATGTGTTTGTGGTGATACTCATGTAAACAAACCTAATGTACTGCCACATAGGAGGCAGAGATCAGGATAACTATTGTCTGAGGTGAGTGAGCCCAGGACAAAAATCTATAAACACTCAATCAATAAAATGGGCATAGTGGTATGCATCTAGCTGTGAGGGAGCCAGCAGGGTGACATCTGGAGGCCAGCCCCAAGCAAAACCACAAGACCATGCCTAAAACGGCAAAACAAGGCTGAGCTGTGGCTCAAGTAGTAGATTACCTGCCTACCAAGCATAAGGCCTTGACCTAAAATCCTAGTACTACTAAAAATTAAAAATTAATAAAAGTATGACACATACAATTAATATACATAATATGTGGTAGTGATGATATCTATTACTTTATGTATTTGCTATGTCATATTAATTAATGTATGCCTTCTACAAATAAAAACAAAGTTAATTGTAAAAGAGTATTTGTGTTATGTTAGCAGCAGCTTCAGCAATCTCATTTCTTGGCTGCACCAAGAGGCCATATCAGGTAACTAACATAAGCCATCTAAGTTTGTGTGAGTAACTTTTATGATGCTTGTACAATGACATGCCTAATTTTAGAATGTATCCTTGTGATTAAGTAATGCATATATATAGCCATATATAAATTTATTTACTTATGAAGTTTTAGTTCCAGGTCTTTAGCTTTTCTGTTTAATCTTTATCTTCCGATTAGGTGGATACTGTATATTTTGAGCATGATCATTCTCATTTTAGACATACATTAAATCTGAGCTGGGCACCGGTGGCTCACACTTACAATCCTAGCTACTCAGGATGCAGACATCTGAGAATCAAGGTTCAAAGTCAGCCCCAGGGAGAATTCTACTCCCTCCATAAGCCTCTAATGATAACCAAAAGGCCCAAAGTGGAGCTCAAGTGGTAAAGCACCAATCTTGAGCAAAAATCAAAGGGACAGTGCCTTGGCCCTGAGTTCAACCCCCAATACTATCACACACACACACACACACACACACACACACACACACACACACACGCACACAATTATATCTAGAGAATCTAAGAGATGTTACCAGAATATTTTGCTAGTAAATTCTCAGTCTCAGTTTCTGTTTTTTTTGACTCATAACTCAAGTGTTTGCCATTCAATAGCCTGTCTTGTTTGCTAATTTGTTACCTGATGGATACACATGTTAGACCCTCTTCCCCTCTGTAATAAAAATCACTCACACTTGTCTGCACTTTTTTTCCAGTCCTGTGGTTTGAACTCAGGGCCTGGGTGCTGTCCCTGAGCCTCTTTGTGCTCAAGGCTAATGCTCTATCACTTAAGACACAGCGCCACTTCTGTCTGTCTGTCTGTCTCACAGACTTTTCTACCTGGGCTGGCTTTGAACCAGGATCTTCAGATCTCAGCCTCCTGAGTGGCTAGGATTACAGGTATGAGCCAACGATGCCTCTTTTTGTCTATACTTCTTAAATGTCCAGTACAGACTGGATACCTAGTGTATATGTTTCATAAATTCCTGCTCGTTGACTATAAAGTATGAGGTAGAATTGTTATTATGAAACTATTATTATTAAAGTGATTATTATTATTATTATTGGAGATAAAAGGAGGTAAGTAAATTGAAAAAAAATAATAGTACAGCAGGAACCAGGTATTGGATGGGGCTAGAATTTCAAACAAGTTGCTTGCTGAAGCATACTACTAGTGCAGGAAGGGTGATGATGATGTGGAGGTTACCCCAACCCATCAGGAACATTGATGGAGATCATGTCCCATGTGCCATGAACTAGCCCAGAATGTAAGAAATGACTATCCTCTCAAAGATCTGACTGTAAAGCTGATGAACAAGTCAGCTCCACTGAGAGGAAGTTATTCCAATGATAAAGCATATCATGAGGGTCCAGAAAGTAGGTAAGGGTCTGATTAGTTCGTAAAGCAATTATCTAGGGTCAACATCATGAGTGTGCAGTCTATGCAGCTTTTCAGACACCATTATAAAATTCTTAATCATTTTTAAGCAAGGAGCTCCATGTTATGATGCCTGTCCTGCAGTTACCATTGTTAAAATTCATGAGTATATTTGGCTGGGAATGTTGCTTAGTGGTAGAATGCTTGCCTTGCATACATGAAGCTCTGGATTTGACTCCTCAGTACCACATAAGCAGAAAAAGCTGGAAGTGGTGCTGTGGCTCAAGTGGTAGAGTGGTAGCCTTGAGCAAAAAAAGCTAAGGGAAGTTCCCAGGGCCTGAGTTCAAGCCCCAGAACTGGCAAAAAAAAAAATTCATGAGTATAACATACAGATGTCATTCTGGGTGATTTTTCAGATCGATTAGGTGAAATGGAAAGGGCTGATATTTTTCAGTTGAAGAAATAAAAATGCAGCCATTTGCTCAAGGTCACCAAGTTACTAAATACCAAGATTTAAACTCTCAGGACACAGCTCAAGTGCTTGTCTAGCAAACTAGGGGGAGAAGAGAATGACCCTGAGTTCAAACATAGTTCTGCCAAAAAAAAAAAGATTTGAACTGTTAGGCTAGGGATCTGAGAACCTCCTGCCTAACTTTTCCATCAAAGGCACTACCTCTGTTATGCTCATCTACTTACTTAGATCTGACAATTACATAAGCATCCCTCCAACCCATTAAAAAAATTAAAAGCTAGGAATTGCTATATGCACATACGATGGCAGATAACCTGGAGGGTGCCTGCAATTTATACAAGTTTCACCATCTTTTTTCTTTTGTCTTTTCTTCCCTTCAATCTTTCCTCCATGCTCCTTCAGTGTCCAGTCAACGGGACTTGTTTATAGCATCTGAAAATGCTATTGGGAAAAGAGGAGGAGGAGGGAGAGGGGGAGGAGGAGGAGGAGGAGGAGGAGGAAGGGAGGGTGGTGTTTACACCTAATAAAACACCTATTATATGTCATGCCCTGTGCTACCTGTTCTCAGAAGTGTTTGCTTTTTTGAGGCTCTTCTTTCTTGTGTACCCATCATAGATCAGAGTTGAAAGGAATATTAGAAACTATTCCAGTTCTTTTCTTCTTATACAAGACAACTATCCAGTGAAAGCATGCCTAAGGTCACAAATCTCTTCCTCCTGACAATTATGACTGTGTCTGTTCCTGTGTGTGACCTGTATGTGCATGGAACAAATGAGTGGGACAAAGACAGCTGGGGTTGTGCTTGGTCAGACATACCACTCTGTGTTGTTGACTGCATCCCCAAAACCTGGTGTGTCCACAATGGTGAGCCGCAGTCTCACACCCTTCTCTTCTATATCCACCGCATGCTTAGTAATTTCCACAGTTTGCATGATCCGCTCTGGAGAAGGGGGAAACTGAGGCAAGGGCAAGGGCAGAGACCTGCCCAATGAGGACAAACCATTCACCCCAGACAACTTTGCTGCCCAGACTGCTTCATCCACACTGCCCTCCTTCCCACCCCCATGCTGCAGGAGGGCCTGTTCTCTGGGAACCAGCAAGGAACATGTTTCCCAACACAGGAAATGCCGGTGGCTGTTGGCTCTGGCCCCAGCCTCTTCTCTGCTCCCGGCTTTTTTTCTTAGATTCCTGAAATCCTTTGGGGAGGGGGGTCAGACACTCATTCAAAGAACAGGATTCGGGTCCCTGCCCTGCTTCAGCACCCAAATCTTTAGGGAACTGGATGGTGTGCTTCCAGGCCAGAAAGGCCTATAGAGGGATATAATCAGTCTCTCTAGGAAGCCATAGCTTCAAGCATGCTGGGGAAGGTCCCTAACTCACATCCCGTGACTCTGGAATGAGTTTTTAACTTTCCAAGTTAGGCCTGCCTGCCTGTCTTCATTCTCTTCTCCTTTTCTTACCTTCAGCACCAAGGAGTTTCCGATCTCGGTATAGATCAGTGAGGAAGAGGCTATTGACAAGAGTGGATTTACCCAGGCCAGATTCTCCTGATGGGTCAGAGGTACCAAGTCAGAAGATAAGATCTGCATGTCGCCCAGAGGCAGTCCCACCTGATCACCTGGGGTGAACTACTTTTCTTTTTAGTCAGGACTAAACTAACCAAAGCACAGCATTTTACAGCTTGAAGGAAGCAGAGGTACATTTGCCTAGCTTTCTCATTTGAATGAAGGTGAGAGAGCAAGAGATTTTTCAAGGTCACAAGAAAAGGGAAAATACTAGAAAACTGTTCACCAAGTGTACCACCTCATTCCTCTACACCAACATGTTTTGGGGTTCCTGGTTATTTTCCAAAAAGCTGTAGTCATTTGCTGTGTGCTTTCTCCCTATTCCCCCCCTCTCTCCCTACCTCCCTTTCTCCCTCTCTCTCTCTCACACACATACACACACATATGCACGCACACACACATGCACCCTAACACCCCATGAAACACCCCTTCCCCAATCCCACCCTGCCCCTTTCTACCTGCCACCATGAGGGTAAAGTCGAAGCCTTTCTTCACAGACTTTCGGTGAACTTGGTTGGGGAGGGTTGCAAAGCCCACATATTCTTTGTCATCCTAAGGACAAGAAGGCAAAATGCATTAGGAGGGGACCAGCACCAGTTTTCTGTCTTCTAAGTTTCTGCTTCAGCCTTAAAGGAGTAGTGCCACATTTGAGTTCCCAAATTCCTACCTATGAGGCCTCTTGCCCCTGCAAATGTGACCAGTTTCCAATACCCTCGGTGTAAAAATCCTCAGAGCTGGGGCTCTGAAATAGGAGAGAGAGGACCTAATCTTTCGCGCGTGCACATGTGCACACATACACATACACATGCACATACACATACACATACACAGAAAAATGCACATGGACATGCATGTATTCTTTCACATATTTTTTCAGTTCCTTCCCTGGGTCTTCTGCACCCGCCCACTGAAAAACAAAGGCAGGGCTGGAGTCTCTACCTCAGAGGAATCATAAGGATCCAGCTTGCCCCATGGGCTGCGGGGCCTGCTGCAAGGGCTGAGAGGAGCTGGGGCACAGATGTACTGCTGGCTGTCAGAGGACTGGGGCCACGAGGGGGCTTTGAACTCCTGGTCATCATCATAGAGGTCTGGAGCCTGGGGTCTTGGCTCTGAGATTTGGGGCCTGCACACCCTAGTCTTGACCTCCGGTGGGTGGCACTGCTCACTTCCTGGGAAATCCTTCACGAACTTGCTCAATTCTGCATCATCGGTGGTGTCCTCCAGGAAACGCTTGATCTGGAGGATGGTAGGGGTGAGTGGGGTGGATGGTAGGGAGTAGGTGGGAGGTGGCAGGGAGGGAGCCAGGAGGTAAGAACAAGGAAGAAGGCAGAAGACAGGAGAAGGTGAGGAGAGAGGGCAAGTACTTACGGTTAGAGGGAAAGAAACAGCAACTAGGCCAGAGGAGAGGGTTGTCATTACTTGCTTCACTAGCCTCCCCAAGCCAAGAGATGGGGTAGAGACCCAGGATCCAGGAGGAACCCTGGCCAGTGCCCAAGGTCCTGGTCTCTCACCAGGGTATTTGTTGAGGCTGCCTTGCTAGCTATCTGGCTAGGCCAGGGACCAGGGACTGTCCCAAAGGTCAGCACCATCAGTCTGTGTAAGAGGGAGAGGAGAGACCTGAGACTATGGCTCCAGATCCCACAGGGAATGCAGAGAATCAGAATACAGCACAGGCACGGGGAGCAGGGTGGGGAGAAGGGAGCTTCCCCCACAGGAAAACCAAGAGCCAGCAAGGGGTTCTGTGCCTGTTACTGCTGACCAGTGTGAGCTGAGGACCCAAGGGCAGATGCTACTGTGGGTATTCATTCACTCAGATTCGCCGCCCAGGACTCAGTCTTGCTAATCCTACTTTTAATCTAGACCCTGAACCATAACAGAATCTGGCTCTAGACCCCAGGAGAGAAGAGTAAACCTGGTACATGTGACTATGGATGCAGAGCAACGAGGAGGAATCAGGTAAGAGGACAGGAGAACACTGAAAAGCAGGGCCGGACCTCTATTGCTACAGACAGCCCAAGAGTATGTCCCAACATGGGGACTGGCTCCCTCTAGACACCTATTCTACTTATTTCCAGTCTAGAAGATAGGCTCTTTTCTCTACTCTTCCCCTTAGCTCTAGACCCTCTAGCTTCCCCTCTTCTTTGGGGGTCAGCGCCCTTTGTGGGGTGCCTGGCAGTGCTGGGCTCAGCTATCTCACAACATCCAAGTGCTACCCCCAGACAATGAACAAAGGCCAGTTATAGAGGCTGACTCACCCTCTAAGGGTTGGCCAACCAAGTGGGGGCTATTCTGAACCATTGTGGAGTCCCAGCTATAGTGGCGGGGGACATAAGTCCCCCACAATCTTTCTTCATAAACCTGTTTTACAATGGGAAGAAACGCAAAAGGTGCATAAACTGCCAGGTTTATGCCAGAGGAAAGAAACTGAGAAAGGAAAGCTTGAGGGGAAAGAGCTATCTTTAGGCTGTTATCTCCCATACCTTCTGATAAGTCAGTCTCCAAGGCTTGTCTAGATGGAGGGGAGGAAAAAGGCCCTTTATCCTGAGTCTTGAATCATTTAGGGGTTTAGTGATCAGAAGAAGCTCTCCTAAGGCAAAGCTTACCTAACAAGCTTTTCACATTCATACTATTTGGGTCTCATGGAATGTCCACACAAGTCAGTGTGTGCTTCTTGGTCTAGCATGATGACTGGGACTCCCTTCACTCTCAAAAGTGTCCCAGCTTGGCAGAGTAATTATACAGCAACAGATAAGGATGGGGCTGAGGGGACAACAGGTCTTGCTATCTGACAGCTAATTAGTTCAGGACCTCCAGGAAATCCTACCTCTCTTCACAAGCCTAAAGTGACCCAGCAGTTGACCTGGGCAATTTTATTAAGGGTGGGGCAAAAGGACTTGCTTGGTAGCACTGAACAGAGAGGCAATAAGAAAGGGGAAGAAGGAAGGCACTGATGGGAGACTGCTAGCCCCCAACAATATTCCAGCAGAGCCACCAGGAACCCCAGCACCATAGTCCTCTCTGCGAGCCCTAACTGTGCATCAGCATGGAGGAAGCCAAAGTACTCAGACAAGGAGTTAAGATACCAAAGTCCTCACCTGTCTTTCCATCGCCTCACCTAGCACTGCAAGTAACCAAATCATTTTCTAATTTTGTGTCTCAATCCCAATGAAGACTAGGAAAAGACATGGTGGGTCCCCTCCCCACCCAGCCCCCAAATTCCAGAGCAGCACCTTACCCCAGCTTCAGTCCCATCCTCGGGGACAGAATGGTCCATGACCCACGCTTCGGACCCCCGTCAACAAGCTCTATGTCTAATTTTATCTCCCAGACAAAGTTCCTCACACACACAGCAACAGTCTTGTCTTGATGCTCTTATCATCTGCCGTCCTGGTTTGCTCCTTTCCCTTTTTCTTTAACCTCCCTCTACTACTTCCAGCAGGGACCAAAAAAGCCTGTGGAATGTCCCTCCCCACCCCCTCTCCTCCTCCTCCTCCTCCTCTTCCCTTGGCTCCCACTCTCCAAGGGCAGTTGAGCTGCAGCAGGATCACTTAGTTCCTCTGCAGTCCCCTCCTCCTCTGATTGGCTGCCCTACGATGCCTGCCTGCTTCCTACCCTGGTGGGCACAGCACCAATCTCCTGTCAAATCTGCAGGACAGGCTCTTGATCTGCTTAACCTCTCCTGCTAACCCCTCAAGGACATACAGGACTCTCTGAGGACTAGGAGCTATCCAAGGTGACTGACCCATCAGTCCATGGGGATAACCACCCAGGAGAACTGCTCACAAAAGATTTCAACCCTCCTCCACAATCTTACTGTCACCTGAAGTTTAAGCAGTCCTGAAGAAGAGTAGGAATGTCCAATAATACCTTTGGTATAAGTTCTAAGGAATAGTCCTACATTTCTTCCCAAATGTCCCTTCTAGAGAGAAAAAAGAAAAACAGAAACAAAAAAAAAAAAACCCTACCCTCCCAGTGTCTTCAGAAATCTGCTCCTAGAGGGGGACTTTGCTCCAGGGACTCCTGACACTATAGGGTGCCTGGCCTCTAACTCTGAGTTCCTGTATCAATTCTATTAACCACCATTTCCAAAGTCAATAGGGTAGCTGGTAGCACTTAAGTATGTGAGGAGCATGGGTTCAAGCCAACAGGAGGCTAGCATCCTAGAGGCTCCAGAGCTAAGTGGGAGGTAAATTGAGGGATCTAGTTTTAAGTGTACAGAAGGGGCACTCCAATAGGAGTCTTGAAGCCAGTGTTTCTGGTTGGGCCTGGGTAGTGTCTTAATTTCAGGTCCTTAATATCAACACAAAATGGCCATCTCTCCCTTGCTTCCAGGGGGCTGGAAGAGAAAACACTCCCAGATGACGGATAGCTCAACCTGCTTTGAACTTGAGGGAAAGGAGCATCTCAAGTCCCAGGGTGGTCACTAATATTGGCTTGTCATTCTCTTCACATGCAAATTTAAATCTCCTGGTGCTCCTGGGATGAAGAGGTCTCCCTAAAGAGTTTCAAAGTAGGAAGGGCTCTGGTCTCCTTTGACAAGGAGACTCTTCATAAATGAATCTGGCCTGACATGAACCACTGAGCCCAAGGCTTGAACGACTTAAGGGCAGAGGCCTGAGGCTGGAGGCTTGGATGGTGGCAGATAGTGGTGGTGGGATATTTTTAATTAGGGTGGCTTCAGTCAAGCTGAATGCACCAAGACCTCAGCTGAAGTCAACTTGGTGTGTGGGCAGAAAATACCCCTCTGGTCCCTGCTGGGCTTGGCATTGATTCCCCAGGCTTCCATTCCCTAAAATAGTCAGTCTGTCCATCACCCATTTGTGGAGAAGGTGGGGGACAGAGAGGAGAGGCACCACTTGGACTCTCTCAGGAACCCCCTTTGGGGAAGATCACAGGGTCACCAAGACTTCCTGGCCAAGACTTGGGCCTCTGCCTGGACACAGCTTGAGGGACAAGAGCACCAAAAATTGGCCTTTCTAGATCTGAAAGCTTCTGGTTCTACAGAGGCCAGGGAGTTCCCTTCTGGTGGTGGCCCACAGCCAATATCCTGCCCTACAGGCGGGTCACCGGTCCCCTCCTGCTGTAAACAGCTTGTGCCTCCCAGTGCAGAGGCTAATGGCTGTGGGGTGGGGGAAGCACCCGGACTGGGAGAAGAGGATGGCAAGGCCTGGAGGCCTGGACATGTATACATTTTATCTGTGGCAGGCTCTGACAACAATGGCAGAAGAGCTGGCCTTACCACCAAGCATCAAAACTTTTACCTAGCATCAAAATTTTTACCTTTTTGCTTCTTTTCCCACTACAGGCAGTGACAGGAATGAGTCCCTTCCCCCCCCCCCAACCTCCACACACTGCAGAGGGACCTGGCTGAGGGGAGGAGGGGTAGATGCAGCAAGGGGAAGCTTTCCCCACGTTCCTGTCTGGGAGGCAAAGGGACACAGCTGATCCCATCCAGCAGGATGGCGGACTAAGTTTTCCTTTCTCAGGGGTCCATCTGAGAAAGGTCCAAGGGATGTCCCTTGTCAGTCTGTAGAAAAGAGGGATCAAGCGGCTCATCATCCCTTTTGGGGGAGAAGGGGTAGGACAGTGTTTGTGTTTTCTAACAGAAGTTGGTGCCGGCCTCCGGCCCTGGGTAAGCGGGTGAGGAAGGGTCATCCAGGTAAGAGCTGACTCAGGAAGGGCGGAGGACTCCCCCCCCCCCCCCCCATCACTGAGCACCAGCACAACAAGCTCATCTCTGTCGGCAGGGACCTCCCACAGCACTGACCCAGCCCTCCTTCTAGGACCGCCGGCAGAACCCCGGGGGTCCAGGCCCGCTTGGAGCTGTTGAGTTCAGAGGTAGAACTTGGGGAGAGACGATGCAGCAGCGCCAGCAGTGCCTGCGAGAGCCGAGCCCGGGGCGGCTGACTTCAACGCCTCCCGCCCCGCACAGCCAAGGGCTGCGGCATCGGAGCCTCCTGGGAGTGGTGGGCCCTGGGCGCCCCAGCCCTACTCGCCCTTGCCCGGCCTTGCCCGGCCCTGCCTGGCCCTGCCTTGAGCCCGCCCGCCTTACCATGGCTGCAGCCCGTGTCGGGCCGGCTCCGCCTGGACAGCGCCCGAGCGACCCGCTGCGGGAGCTGTGCGCCGACCTCGCTGCACGCACCGCCGGCCCCCACCCGCCTCCCAGAGTGCGGACCGCGAGGGGCGGAGCCCTGGGCGGGGCCAGCCGGCCCCTAGGAGGGGCCTGCACCTTTGCTCGGGTGGGTGTGGGCGGGAACTAGATGGGGAAGGGAGGTTGGGGAGGGGGGCTTACCTCCCCGACCCTGGGCTGCACGGGACACCTGGTTCGTCCTTATTCAACGCCTGAAGAATGATTTTCCTCAGGAAGTGCAGCACCACGGGGAGGGAGATGGGGGAGAACGGCTACTTGTTATCCCCAGGAAATGCCTTTGGGGGCGGGGATGACAGGGGGATTTGCTGCATGGGTTGGAAAGAAACCATTAGTTACCCCCAGAGATTCAAGCAAGGTTTTAGGGAAGTGAGCTGACTGATGTCCAAGTTACTGATTGACCATACCCTCCACCCTACCTCCCAAAGGGGAATGTTAGACCTTACCCACTTCCATCCAAGCTGTGGAAAAGACACAGGTTAGTTGCAGGTTCCCTTTGTGCAGGACCCTAGATTAAAGATTAAAGCGGATTTGCTGCACAATTTATCCAAGGATCATCTGCTGGAAGGGTGGCAGGAGAGGCTGAGTGGTTTTAATAGTGTGGGGGAGGCTGGTCTGGGCTGAGGACAGTGGGGGAGAGCCTCTGGAAAGGCCAGCCCAGGCATAGCCCAGACCAGCTGGGACATTTTTTCCTGTCAAGTAGGTGACATGTTGTGGAACAGGTGCCTCCCAACAGTTTTAAAGGCATTCAGAGCTCAGAAAGGTCAGGGCAGTAGTGAGGGGTAGGTAGATGCCTGGAGGTGAGGAATTGGTAAGGGATTTCCTATGTGGAGTCTGAACTGGTGTCTCCTATGGATGTTTCCAGAAGCATGTCTCTCTCTAACCTCCAAAGCCCTCTTTCAAGGTCAGGCTCACTGACCTCTGTCTGAATGTATCCTTGGTAAGACTGAATCTCACAGGCCTGGCCTTCTATATGAGTAGAAGTACCAGCAAGTTGAGGAGAGACTTTTCTAGTTGGGTGACTTTGGACAACTCTCAGAATCCAAAAGGAGGGGGATTAAATAGATGTTTTTGTTTGTTTGTTTGTTTTGGTCATGGGGCCTGAACTCTGGGCTTGGGCACTGTCTCTCAGCTCTTCAGCTCAAGGCTAATTAGTGCTCTAAACTTGAGCCACAGCACCACTTCCAGCTTTTTCTGCTTATTGTGGTACTGAGGAATTGAACCCAGGCCTCATGAATGCAAGGCAGGCACTCTACCACTGAGCCACCTTCCTAGCCATAAATAGATACTTTCTAAGTTTCCTTTGCGCATTCAAAAAAAAAAAGATGGAGTAGGGAAGGAGAAAATGTTGTATGCTTCTACAGGCCTTGGAGGAAAGTAGAACAAGGCAGCAGCAACAGGAGGTACCAGGGAAAAGATAGTCGATGAAGAGACAGAAGAAGCCTTGTAGGCATAGGATTGGGGACTGCAGCTTGGCTCTAATGAGAAGGGACCTCAGAAGTATAGAGGGTTCCTGATGTGGAAAGGTCCCAGGGAAAGGCCTGTTTTAGACCAGGAGATCTGAAGCTATAGTCAGAAAACTAGACATACAAGAGAGAGAGAGAGAGAGAGAAACAACCAATGTTGTTGGAAGTCTGCAGAAACAGCAGCTGCTACTGCCATCAGACAGTGAGGCTATACAAGGTCCGCTGTCCATAGCCCCAGGCAGCTAGTACTTATGCACACTCATAAGAATGCCTCTTGGGTGCTTCTAGTCAGCAGTCATGTGGCCTGGGGTGGGGAGAAAAGGCAGGCTCCACAACAAAACCTTATTTTCCTCTACCATAACATCCTTCCTCCCCTAAGCCCCAGCTGTGTTCCAAGTGTGGACACAGAAACATCTCAGAAGGCAGCTTGGCTAGCTCATCCTCAGCTGTGGCTGGAATCTCAAGCTCTTCTCTGGCACCTGCTTTTCAGGCTCCAGAAAGCCCTATGCATCCTGATGTGAGTTGGTGCCATCTTGCCTTGAGAGAAGTTCCTTAGCTCATAGAACTCAGCTCCAAGTCAAGCGTCTCAGGGTTTTGATGGATTCTAGTCCCTTTCTTTTCTTTTCTTTTTTTTCCGTGGGGCTTGAACTCTGAGCTTGGGTGCTTTCCCTGTGCTCTTCAGCTCAAGGTGAGAGCTCTACCGCTTGAGCCACAGCACCACTTCTGGTTTTCTAGTGGTTTATTGGAGAGAAGAACTTCACAGAGTTTCCTGTCCAGGCTAGCTTTGAACCATGATCCTCAGATCTCAGCCTCCTGAGTAGCTAGGATTATAGGCATGAGCCACCGGTGCCTGGCTTCTAGTCCCTTTCTAACTACTGTGCTATAGACCCAATATGAAGCATGATGGGTAAAATAAAAGCTAAAGACAGACTGTGTCATTCCACCTGCATAAGTCCTATATGCTAACTCTGTAGCATTTAAAGGACTCTAAGAGAACTTGACCTTAACATAAGCCCCATGCCAACTTTGACTATTAGAAGCCTGAAAGTTGGGGCTGAGAAGGTGGCTCAGTGGTAGAGCGCTTGCCTTGCATGCCTGAGGCCTTGGGTTCGATTCCTCAGCACCACCTAAGAAAACAGAAAAAAGCCAGAAGTGGCGCTGTGGCTCAAGTGGTAGAGTGCTAGCCTTGATCTGAAGAGCTGAGGGACAGCACCCAGGCCCACAGTTCAGGCCCCACGACCGGACCAAAACAAACAAACAAAAAAGAAGCCTGAAAGTTCCTTGTTCTTCATGCATGCTAGGCAAGCATTCTACCATGAAGCCACATTCCCAGCCAGTCCCTTGCTCTTCTTGGGACTCTCTTTCCCGTACTGGAGGAGGCTGGGCTCCCTACAACTCCAGCTCTCTTGTTCTGTATTAACAGAGGTAGGATCCTTGAATAAATCACTGATGACTGCATACTCTTCATCAGCTGACAGGTAACCTAGCCAACTTTGCCTTGGCACTCACCATCTGGAGCTCTGGCTCACCCTTGAAATTCAGCATCCTACCACACATTGTCTTTGACTAGAAAACAATTTCCTTGGCACTGCTAGAGTGGGAAGCCAAGTGTCTGGAGGGTGAATGCTTATTAGCTTGGCACAGAGGATTACTCCTCTGGGAACCTTAGATCAGCAACCACAGCTCCGTGCCTGACTCTTGATTCCTCCACTTAGGTCAAGTCAGGGTCTGAATGCAAAATCATCTAGTCTTCCTCCCTGGATTGTTCTTGCCCATCCACAGGTGAAGGTTGTATGGCACAGAAGCCTAGTAAAAAAACTGACTTGTACCAAGCATGGGCTTGGGTTCCAAGCTAAGAATAAAGAATGATTACAACAGGAAATCAGGATTTCAGATCTTCATGAATAGCAAAGGCCACTTTTGCCTCTAAGTATCTGTTTCTCTTAAGTGAAGCAAGAAGTCATTGTGCCCTTCTTCCCCCAGAGGTGGATGAGTCACTGAGGATATAGTTAGAGAGCCCTGGTAGAACCAAAGGGCCATCGCTAAGATGGGCCTTTCAAGGAATTGAAGTCAAGTCTGTCCAACAGGGTCTGTGTAGGGGCCAGAAACCCAAATACCTTAAACCCACTCATGTTCCATGTGTCTGGGGGCAGACATGAGATGTGGGTGGCAGCACTGGAGAACATCTGTTTCCTGGCACCTACTGAATGGCTTCAGAGAGGGTCAGTTTGTGTTGGCAAGGGCTGCCGGGCATCAGTAGCTCATGCCTGCAATCTTAACTACTTAGGAGGCTGAAATCTGACTACTGCGATTCAAAGCCATACCTGGCAGGAAAGTCCATTGAGACTCATCTCCAATTAACACCAAAAATAGCCAAAAATGAGGGTGCAGCTCAAAGAGTAAAGTGCTAGCCTTGAGCAGAAAAGCTTAAGGACAGTGTCCAGGCCTTGAGTTCAAACACCAGGACTGGCACAATCAATTAAACAATCCATCAATGGGGGAGAAAAAAAGAGTTGGCAGAAGCCAGCCATTCTGATAGGGAAGGTCTTTCCAAGCCCCTCTATGAGCCAGACAGGGCTACAGTTGCTTGCCTGTCTGTATGTGTGACTACCTATTTGATGTCTAACTCTCCTCAAAAGGCCCCTGCCTTGCCAGACTCTTGTTCTAATGCCTCCCAGGGCAAAAAAAAAGCAAAGCAAAACAAAACAAAAACTGACTCTTAACAACTATTCTTCAATCTTTGGGAGATGGAGTTACTAAGGTCATCATCATTCTGGGTCAAAATCTATGTGCCCTAGCTCTTACCCTCTTAGTTTACTTGGTTGTTGGATGTCCAAACTCTTTAAAGTGATCCATCTGCATACTTCTATCTCTCTCAAATTAACCATAGGCCCCTCAAGGGCAGGAATATGTCTTCTATTTTAACCTCTAGAGAACATGTAAACAAGTGATATAATGGATGACAGGTCTCTGCCCCCAGGAACTGGCTGATCAATGGACATCGACTGAAAGGATGCATTGATCAGTTTTCCATTCTGATTTGAGAGCACAGACAGGCCTTGAGGCTCTGGTCTTCATTGACCCATGAATACCCTTCATTCTGGTTGCTTTCACATTCACATCCACCTTCCAGCCTCATTATTCATAGGCAAAGATAGGCATTTTACTCCCACTAAAAGCTTTCCTTTTGCAATTCTTGATATTAATAAAATATTGAGAAGTTACAGGAGCATGTGGCAAGAGAAGAAGGATTTCTGTATCACCTAATGGAATCCCCAAGGCACAATACTCCTTAAAGTTTTGCCAGTTTGGGGCTGGGAAGGTGGCTCAGTGGTGGAGCACTTGCCTTGCATGCCTGAGGCTCTGGGTTCGATTCCTCAGCACCACATAAGCAAAAAGAAAAAAGCCGGAAGTGGCGCTGTGGCTCAAGTGGTAGAGCACTAGCCTT